TACTTCAGTTGCTGTGTAGTTTGAGATTATCTCAAGGCACGTAAATAGATTGCTTATCAAATTGTGGATATCCCAGCTTCGTGGGAGGGCATCTGTGAATTAAGTTCTGTGGGCTGATTGCTGTTCTGAATCTACTGTTACCCTTAACCAAGGAGAAATGCACTTCAATAGCGAGATCGGTTTTAAGTATTCTGCATTAAATCTTTCTGCATCATGCAGAGACAGGTACCAGTTTCATTTTATCTGAACCAAATTGCAAAAGGCAGAACTGAGGAACCTAACTACTCTTCATTTTTGGCAAAAATCAAGCTTCAGATCTTAATTTTTGGTCAGAAACTGTCTAAAATTGAAGTTTCAGCATTTCATCAGGAAATAACAGGGGGAGGAGAGAACTGGCAGATCTTGCTGTGTTTGTGTGTGGCTTTTTCTCGTGCTGCATTTGCACAACTGAAGCTGCATTTTCAGTAAAGAGCGTTGGATGCAAAAGCAGGAAGACGGGGATGTGATGTGATGGCTGGTTGAAGGCTGGCTGCGCTGCACACTAGCGCTATTATGAGTACCAAACCTGCGAATATCTAGGTAGGAGGACGTCACAGAAACGTTATATTTCTGACTTCAGAGCAAAAAAATCTTGAAGGCTTTAGTCATGTTTCAGAGCAGTTTCAGTTAGTGTTGCTTAGGACCTTTTTCATCAAATGCGCTTTTGTATCTTTGGTTGTTCTTCCATCTTGATCACATTTACAGTAATAATCCATTCCTCCCTCCCACTCCTCCTACACAACAGCCACATGCAGATAATATTTGACCTGCTGGCTTGTTTATCAACAGTATTTATGATTATATATGTTCCACTTTGTTTCAGAGCTATTTTGCAATATGGGCAATACTTAAATGGGGTAAGTTTACTCAGCCCACCTGTGACAGGCCCTGAATCTTTCACAGTACAAAAATAGGTATTTCTGAAAGGGCAACTTGTTGGTGGGTTTATTCCTTATGTATAATTTGCTAGTATGTGCCTCCATTTATTTGGCATACTATCTGTTTTCTGCTCCCTCCACTGTGACAATATATCTGTTTATGGTGGTGGTCTGTAAAATTGAATCATTGAACTGATCTAGGTAGGCAAAACAAAACAAAAATCTCCTTTCCCTTCTCTGCCTCATTTAGGCTGGTTCATTTCTGACGTTTATTTTACATTGCATTCCCACAAAATATTACTTTGGTACAACTGAAGAGCAAGTAAATTACTGAGCAGGTTTGGGGAAAATGAACAAAGGTTTGGTAAAGTAGAATGCTTTTAAGTTAGAACTAGACTTAGAGAAAGAAAAAGAGAATGGAGCAAAAGCATTGCTGGATTTAACGTTTACATTTACAATGCAGATATTTGTGAAATGCATTTTTGATAATGGTTTGAAACTCCACTGTGTAAGTGCCTGTCTGGCTGCGATCATTTTTATAATTAAGATTTCATTAGAATTAACGAGTCTTGTCATTCTTGAATGATGGGTTTTTGTTTTTTTTTTTGAAAACTGTGAAAAACTTATTTGTTCTTAAAGCAAACTAATACAAACTTATTTCTTCTTAAAGCAAACTAATACACCAAACAAAAAGTGCTTTTTTGGCCTATTATGGCATATCTAGGAAGCTCTCGGGGCTTGGAGCACTGGTAAATTTGGTGAGCAAGCAGCAAGGAGATTTTGCATGCTTTTTCCCAAACATTTTCAATTATTACAAAACCTTCTAAATCTGTGAGCAAATCTGATCCTGTTTTACTTCAGAGTGTTCCTGTTCTTAAAAGCCTTGACAGAATGCAGAAAATTTATGTAATTCTGGGCAATCCTTTACGACCATTAGAACCCCTTATTTTCTACAGAACCTTAATTCTTTGGAGTAGCTGAATTTCATGCATCATGGCTTCAATTTGTCTGATCTGGTAAAAACCTACAGCATTAAATTGCATGTTATAGCTGTAAAACCTTAGGGTTATTTTAATAACAAGTACTTGAACATAGGACAATAACCTAATTGCCTCTCTTCTGTTCAGATGCGTAACTGTAGGTTTAGATTTAGCACAACTCCTGCTGCCAACACAGGTCAGACACATTGCAGTAAGTTTTTGGTTGTGAAGAATGAAAAATGGATTAAAAGAAAAAGCCTTTTAGATGTGACACGCTTTACCAAAAAGCCATAAGGAATGAAAGGCAAAGCCATAACTCTGCATCAGCGATCCCTTGTGCAGTTTGGGACAAAGTGGGGGAAAATCACAGCAGGTGGGAATGACTGGCACTAGCCTGACCATGCTAAACTGGGTGGATCATGCAGATGACTTTTCACTACTTTTCCCCTTATCTTGAACTGGATAGCTGAGGGTGGGTGGATGTGCTCCCATGCTACAGTAAAGGAATGGCTTCTGATAGCTGGGCTGGCTTGTACAGATGTGCATTAAATCACAGTGCCCAGCACTAAGGGACACGCTGCACAATCTGCATATGACTAAGAGTCAGGAGATCTGTACAACGGACCTTGTCGAGCCACAGGGGAGGGGACACCCCCCGCCCCAGCAGATGTTAGCAGTAGGACTTCTGAAGAACTGCTTGTTTATGCTGGCTGGGTGTGCAGCTGGGCCATGCAGTGATTTGGGAACTGTTGGCTTTAGCAGCTCTTTTCCCTGTGTTTCCCCAGCTTCTCAGAGCACCCACTATGTGATTGTCACGGAATTGTCAGAGTTGGAAGGGACCTCTAGAGATCATCTAGTCCAACTCCCCTGCTAAAGCAGGGTTGCCCAGAGCACATCACTCAGGACTGCATCAAGGCGGGTCTTAAAAATCTCCAGAGAAGGGGACTCCACAAACTCCCTGGGCACCCTATTCCAGGGCTCTGTCACCCTCACCCTAAAGAAGTTTTTTTCTCATATTTCAATGGAACTTCCTATGTTCCAGCTTGTGTTTGTGATGCCAGAGCCCTTTCCTGCGGGCCCTGAATCTGGCTCACCGTCCTCTCACTGCAGAACCAGCCAGTGACATGTCTAATAAATAAATACCTTTTTCTGTGTTCTTCACTGTTTTTTTTTTTTTTCTTTTTCCTTTTCAGTTTTTCAGAACTTCCTTTGCTTCTTGCATGAGTTGTACTAACATAGGTATCTTCAGTAACATCTAACCTGTATCCCTTTAATTGCTTAGGCTATTAACATGGCCTATTTTTCAGCATATGGGCTGCAATAAGTGCTTAACTTGGCGTCTGAGACTGCTGAAGTGTCTAAGCCCAGTGGGATGAATTAGAGATGGAGCAGCAGTCTGAATTTTGTGGTGTTTTTTTGTTGTGTTTGTTTTGTTTTGTTTTTGCTTTGTTTTAATTCAGAAAAATACAGTCAGATTTCATTTAGTATTTTTTTTTTTTTTTCAGTGGTGGTAGGGAGTGTTCTAGGTCAACATTTTTCTAATCTTATGTTTTTAAGTTAGACACCTAAAAGCCAAGTTTAGGCATTCCAAAATAAGGCTTAATTCCCATCAGTACTCAGTGTCTGCAGCTCCCATTGAAATCAAGCAAACAAAGCTTTCCATACTTGTCTTTGTTATGATTAAACAGACACTCATAAAACTCAGACAAGCTGGAATCAAGTTTCACATGAAACTGAACTGACATTTTTTCTTAATAGGATCCTTGTAATTAGTGATTACCAGATGCATTTAAAATGTGTGAAATGCCTGCAGGAATGGGAAATAGGAGGAGGGAGAGATGCCAAACACCTCAGATCTTCTCCTGGCAACCTTTCATTTTAAATTTCTGCTCTGTGCATAGACGAAGCAGCATGGTTTCTATAAAATGTTCAGCTGTGGTTTCACATTAAGCTGATGTTACCAATAAAGAGAGTGACTTGTAATTGAAAACTTACTTGCTTATAAGTATCAGGTTTTGCTCTTGATGGCTCCCCATTTTATGTCAGTCATCACGTTGCTGTCCTTAAGATAGGTGTTATGAAACCTGCCAGTTTTCTCATTCCAGCAACTATCATAATGCTATTGTTTGTCATTTTGATCTGAAGAGAAGAATAAGACTTCTGGGCTCATTTTCTGCTGAACTAGAGATGTCCCACATAGCCTGAAGAAACATACCCAGGACTCTTACCAGCCTGTGTCACAGGAGCAGAATGACTCTTCTGGATGAGGCGGCATTGGCTCCCTCTTTGTACCATCTGTTTTCCTACTTGTGACTGGGAGGTGATGCTATCTCATAAAATTAAAAAACTTTGATATTTATTTCCTGTTTGAAGTTGTCATTCCAAAAAGGAATATCTAAATGTGGGCTGCTTACTGTTACCGTTATGTGTGTCTTTTTTTTCTGGGACCAGTGGTTTTTTTCTTCTCTTCTTTCTCTTTGAAAATGCAGTGCTGGACAGTAGCTGGCCCTGACCAGAGGGAAGCTTGTTAGGAGCTTGTATAGTTCTTGAACAACTCGCTCATGCACAGTAACTCACACACGGCTCCTTTTCTCTTTGCTCCAAGTGATCTAGGTCAGACCCATTACTCAAATTCTCTTAAATGTGGAACCGTAGTTATACTGGACACTTCCATGACGTATATGAGTTTTCTGGTCAGTGTGAGGACACACTTGAACTCTAAAGTATTTAAGATAGTTGATTCTTTTAGGAAGAATAACAAAGGTCCTTTTTGCAACACTTCCAATGTTCCTGGGACTGCTGACAGCTTTGCTCCTTGGGTAGATTTTTGCCACCACAGCCAGAGACAGTTATTGCTCCTGCCCTTGTAAAACTGTCCCTGACAAAGTGGTGGACTTAATGGAGGATGATACTGGGAAGGAGGAAATAGATTTCTGGCTTGCTTGTGGCAAGCACTTATGGTATATGAAGAGGAAGACAGAAATGCAGGCAAGACATGGTTATCTCTTCTCATTGTAACCATGTACTTAAATTTTTCTTCCTACATTGTTACTCTTTTTATGTCCTCTTAAAGTCTGTTTTTTCCCCTCTTTGTTTCTAATAGATTCACTGTGAGCAGCTCAAAAGGAAGAATAAAGATGCAGAGGATCATCTAGAATTATGCTCTCGTCAGGGTGTTGAGATGGAAAGGTATCAACTATCGTAATTTTACGTGAAAAAACTTGTTTTATTTTTATTTTTTTAAAGTAATTTACATTACATTACTGGAAATATATAGTTGCGTGTTCCCTGCATATGTCAATCGATTTATTTTCCAGGGAAACAGGTCAATACTTTTTTTTTTTTCTGCTTTAATCTGTCCTGTGGAGATCTGTGTCAGCTCTGTTTAAACAAGTGAAACATGGAAATTTTCTCTACTGAGAAGAGCAAAATCATAGAGAATAGTGTAGGTTGGAAGGGACCTCTGGAGGTCATCTGGACCAACCTCCTGCTCAAAGCAGGGCTAATTAGGTCAGGTTTCTCAGGGCTGTCTAGGTGAGTTTTAAATATCTCCAGATACAGAGATCTCACAACCTCTTTGGGCACCTGCTTCTTCGTGAACTAGCATTAGTTCTACTGCTAATGGCAACAAAAGAGTCTGTACTGTAGGATATAGAGATAAAGAGGTCACGTTATGACTACAGCCTTTAATGAAGCTGTGATGATGGCAACACCTTTCAAAGACTGTCAGTGAGTAATAAGGAGCTTTAGGAAAATTAATAGTGCTGAGTACTTCAGTGAATGCTGCTGTATTCCATAAGACAACCTCTGGCCAAATAAAATAAAATCAAATAAAATTTCAAGGTAGCCAAGAATGATTAAAAGGTAGCTTGTATTAAGTATAGTGTGTGGATTTGAGAGAGAGAAAAAGAAAAATCATTTTAAGGTAACTGTAGATTGTTTGGGGAAGCTTAAGAAATAATGCCCTACCCTTCTTTCTTCCTGTAAGAAGATTTTTTTTTTCCCAGGTTAGTTTATTGTGAAATAACTGGATTTGAAATTCCTTCTGGTCTGGGATTTCCCATTTATTGAAGACATTGTGAGCTGCTGCTAGTGTTGTTGGACTCCAGGCTCTCTCTGTGAAGGGAGGGAGGTGCCAGGTTCCTGCCTGGCAATGGCATCCCTGGTGAAACCATATGCCAGTCGCTGGCAGTTCAGGCCCTGGACCTGTGCCACAGACAGCCATTCAGCGAGTCTCCTCTGCCTCTCAGCTTGGCTGCCAAACAGCTACCACAGGCAAGAAGTTGGCTTGACTTAACACAGAGTCGGTTGTCCTCTGTCAGCTTCTGTGTCTTAAATTTCCTGGCTGCATTTCCAAATGGTGTTCATCTGTTTGTTCCACGTGCGCTGTTACTGCATCACTGAAAGTATCTCAGGTCTGTATGGGAGACACTGACCCAAATGAATCATGGGCTTGTTTCCTCCAAGGGTGCAGCCCAGCTGTGAGCCCAGGTCAGTAAAATGTTGGTGACGCATCCGCATCTTGGCCAAGGCTCAACTAGGAGGCAAAATGGGCTCTGTATGGGCCTTGTTCTGTTTGTGGTGATGCCTGATTTGACAAAAGAAAGAATAGTGGTGTAAAGTACCAGTTAAAAATGTCAACTATGTAATTGCATCAAAATCCTAGCTTTCCACAGAAATGAGTATGTGTAAGTTCTGGATAGAGTCGTGGTGCTCAAGCTATAGCTGTGGGGCAAGGAGCCAGTCCAGAAAGGGCAGTGGGAGGGGGACCATTTCAAAAAGGTGCCTACTGGGGCTAGGAAAGTGTCCTAAAAGGGGTGCAAGCTTTTCTAGGTATTGGTCTTCATAGAAAAAGAGTGAGTACTTGAAAACATATAGATTTGTCTCCCTTCTTGTTTTTTAACTCAGATTTCAGTTCTTTCAACACTTTCCTGCCATCTGCCACAGCTTTCTGCATGTGCACTTTTCAGTGGGGGAATTCATCTGCTCAGAAAGCGCACGCTATTTGGTGGCTCTGCTTGGCTGAACTTTCCATTTGTGTGATTTTCATGGCAAAACTTCAGTTCCCTTTCCACGAGTGATCCACACGCAGCTACATGAGTCCTGGGTGATGAGTCTGGGTGACAGTGCTCCATTTACTGCTTCTCCAGAGAGAAGTAATCTCCAGAGCCATCTGTAACTCACTCATGGCTCATTTAAAGCCTGAGAAAGTTAGTGAAAATAATTTAATTGACTTTCGTGAGGTTTGAACTGAGCCCAAATGCTGTCCATCAGGAAGAAATTCAATTATGGTCTTGGTAGTATAACTAAGCAGAAGATCCAAGTGAAAAGGGGAATGATGTTATTTTCCTGACATACAGACCCCGTAGGGTACTGAAATGAGGTGGTAGCATTGAAACCCAGTCCCAAAAGTCAGGAACCTCCACAGAGGGGAGGAGCAGCATGTGATTAGTAATATGCCATTTAACCACCTAGTCTTCGTCATCTTATGTGTTGTGTATTTGTTGAGGGGAATAGTCAGAGACTGGGAGACACTAAGTGCCTGTATATCACTAGCTTTGCTTCTCTCCTCACTGAAAAAGGACAGATTATAGGTGCAGCTTCAGTTAATGACTGGGGCCTTTTTTTTTTTTTTTTTTTTTTAGTTGCTCTCATTTGGAGGGATTTCATTTTTTTTTTTTTTTTTTTTTTTTTTACTTATTTTCAGAGAAACCAGATGTCTTTCCATTAAGAACACCTCTTTTCTTGTTGTGATTTGTGTAATTCTTAAAATTAAGCAAAACTATTAAAGAATAATTGTTTCTGTTCACATTAACAGCACACAGCTTCTCCAGATGTGGCATTTGACAGCCAAACAGCTGCTGGCTATTAAATGTGCCTTAAAAGCTCCATTCCTTTGTCGTAAAGGGAACAGAAGTGTAGGGACGTTTATGGGGTGATAGGCAGATGTTTTGGCTACATCAGATTTGAGCGAAAGTTTAAGTGGTTTCTCTGCTATAGTCGCAGTATGTACGTGTTTTAACCCCTATCATGCACCTTGCCTTATGGAGCTTTCTTCTTGGAACTGGAGGGAGATTATTTCTAATCTCACGTTTAGCTCACAAGCAACAGTGCTAGCACTTTCTTTGCAACATCTGGGACATCTCACTCTGAAGACAATACAGTTCCTCTGTTAGGTGGATCTCAGTTGCCGGTGGGGCTGGCTTCACAGCTACACTTCTGAAATACTGGGTGAATTTTTCTTCCAGCTGAGTGAAAAAATTAAGTTGCAAATAATTTGAAATAATGTGTTGTTTGTTTTTTTTTTTTTTAAAAAAACTTTCTTTTTAGGTATATCCTCATAATTATCAAAGGCAGGTGTTCTTTTTGTGCATAGTACCCTTTATGCCCAATAAACTGTTTTTTATAGTGGTATACCTAAGGTGGAATGTAGAACTAGTGGAGCTCAAGTTCAAGAGATGTGGCTTAAATTCCCAAGCCTAAACTCTGAGCGGAGATCAGCTTGCTGGGTGTTGAGAACTCAAATAGCACCACTGATCCTTAGGGAGCAGCACCACATTGCAATTGCTCTCTATCAACTCAGAATCTACTAAACTTGTAAGAGGTCATGAGGCTGCAAAAGTTTTTTTCATAACAAAAGTCTTTCTGTTTTCTTGGCAAGATTTTGTTCTTGTGCTTGTTAGACTGAAATTTTTTTGTCATTTAGTCTTAACTGGATAAGATTTTAAGATAAAAATCCCAATGTATTTATATGAAAAAAATCTAAAAATTTTACAAAACTGAATTGAGGGCAAAAATTCTGTAAAATTATACAGAATGAAAAAGAATAGCCTAGTTCTACAGATAAACTGTTATTTTTAAGAATTATATGCCTAACTTTATTCCTATTACAAGTCTGTTTCTAGTACAAATTAGATTAAATATTCTGTAATCCAGATCTCATTCTCTCCCATATTCTAAAGGCTTTTTTTTCTGAGATGAAGTATGTTATCAAAAATAGGGGAAATATTAGCTGAAACGATTTGCCTTGAAATTTACCACATTTTTTAGTTTATCCCAACCAGTTCATCCTCCATAATTCAAATGCAGATACTTATTTCTTTCTGTGGATCTGCTCCTTAGGCTTAGCCAAGCAAGAATCCTATGTCTGAACTGCCCACCCAAGGGGCTGAAGCTTGCGTTTAACCCCTACACTCTGGAATTCATTTCCCGTCAAAATATGACTTGGTGGTGTTGGCGTCTGGCTGTAAATCCTGGCTTAAAACCCTTTTTCATTGTTTATGGTGTGTATTTGTGCTTTCACCAATCACAGGAGAATGACCCCAGCACACCAGCCTTGAGATTATTATTTCAAATGGAGTTATATGCCTTTGGTATTAATATTTTGCAATAAATGCCTTGAGGGATGTTGTAGGTATGTCGGTTGTTGTCACATAACTGCTATTAGTAATAATGCCAGTTTCCAGTGAAAACTGGGGAGAACCAGCAGCTCACAAATGGGACCAGCTGCAGAGCTGGGACTCTGCATGGGGCTTGTACCTGGCTATTTGATAAACATGTATTTCCTGGCCATCATGTGGCTCATCAAGAGCATGGGGCAGGCCATCAAGAGCTGAACCGATTGCTGGCTGCTCTGTTATGAAAGCATGTGTTAGTGGGAGTTGTTCTGTCTTCTGCTGCTTCTCCTGACCAGGATAAGGTGGACCGTAAGGGGTGTCTTTGATGTTATTAGAAGCCATGGGTGCCCACATCTCACGCTTCCTTTCAGTGACATCGTATTCTCGATTTAGTGACAGTTTTGGGCCAAATATGGGTTTTGCTCTGGCTCAATTACATACATAATTTAATCAAATTTCCTGCGCATGTACAGTCAGGGCTTCATTGCCTAACCCTGTGAGGACAGACAGACCAGCATGGTTTTATTTAGCTGAGTGATATTGATCTACGTAGGAATTTCAGTCCCATTCACATACAAAGCATGTGCTGGGCACTATTTTTGCTCTGGCTCCTAGCTGAAAAACTGAATTGCTGCAAAAAGTATGCAACCATTTATAAATAATTAATTACAAAAAGCTGATAGAGCCTAGAAATTGAAATGGTGCAGAGATGTATTGTAGAGAAAAAAGTGAAAATAATTTTAAAGGCAGCTAGGTGAATATGTGGGAGAAATGAAAATATCATTAATGTGGTGCACAGTTAGTCTGTAGCAGTGAAGTCCTGCATGGATATGTGACTTGCAAACCAAAGAGAACAGACCCAGCTTCTCGCTCTTGGAGGACATGGCTAGAAGAATATTGGATACTACTTTTCAGATGTGACGTGGAAATTATGAGTAAGGTTGGGTTCTCTCCTTTCTCTGCCAGCTGCTAAAACTCATGCTGGGAGAGCAGTTTCCTTCATTATATCTGTAGGTTCTGCTTCCATGTGAAGTATCTTAATTTTGCCAAAAAAGGAAATTTAGCAACTAATTCAACGTTTACAAAGAGGAGTTAATATTCTAGTCTGTTACAGGCTTCTGCATGCATCATAGCATGCTATGTAAGTAGGATGTGTTTTTTATATTTTCATACACTTTGGGAAGCATTAGCACATAGAAGGGATATACTTTGTCCCTTATGACCACATAAAAATGCTTTTAATACTCTCTGATGATTGGTTTTACAAAACAAAAACCTGTATCACCCAAATGTGAACGGACTTCATTTTTTCTGATTTTTTTCTAACAGATTGTCTATTTGCATAATTTAATTATTAAAACCAAAATACCTAATTTTAGAAAATGTTGGCAACAGTGTAGAACAGTAAAGGTATTAATGGTGTAGAAACGTACCTGTGAACTTCACAAAACCAAAAGCAGTTATGAAAAAAGTGCTTTCTGCAGAAGCTAAATGCTGTGTGCCCTCTAGAGCTCACCAGGGGAAGGTCAGGTAGTCACCAAGAACTGTCTTTTTCTGGGGTAGCTCCCAGTCACCAGTCTATTGAAGATGCATTCAAGCACTCATCATCTGTGCTTTCTGGACTGTAAAATGGATCTATACACCAGATATGATTAATATTCTACATCACAATAAATATATCCTTCAAATTGTCAAAGTGACTAATACTAAAATACAGGTAAATGGGGTAATAGTTTCTGTTCAGAAGACCTAAGGGAAAATCAAATGGATTAAGAAATCTAGTCAATGAAGCAATTTTCTGACTTTGATGATGGTATTGGAACACATGTATAGTACAGAGCAGCAATCAATTTGTAGGGATTTGAGTCTTTTGTGGTTCCCTTTCTTTTACCCAGACACAGCTGGTTCTTGCTCTTGCCCAGGTGCTCCTAATCCTAGAAGGGAGAATGCAGAGATATAGGGTGGGAGCAGCTGGAGGTGAACATCGTTTACAGCCACAGTGTCAGACAAACTGTGGGGAGCAGAGTAGAGGAATGAATGCTTCCTGGCTAAAATGAAATATTTCAAGTCAACCCACCATCTTTATGGGGTATTTCCCAGCTTTATTCATGCTCTGAGCTCAGGAGGTTGTGGTCACACATCTCTTGCTGTGGCTGAACCAGCAGCAGAGATGAGTGGAGCCTCCCTAAATACTTGTTGCTGCACTCCTGCCAGAGATTGCTGGTCATCTTTTACTGCACTTAGATGTTGCTCCTTTATTTTTAACACTTATTTTACTCTAAGTTGCTTTATTTTACTTTAAAAAGTTTAAGGAAACCCTGAGTACTTTGATTAAGCCAGGTGAGTGGGTTGTGCTGGGAGATGGGGATGGTAATTTGCAGTAGAGGGGTAGTGAAGGTGGAAAGTGTCTGGGGCTGTAGAGGAGTTAAACTCTTTGTCTGGTTTTGCTGCAGCTGGAGCAGGATGTGTGACTGCAGACCTGGGAAAGGAGCAAAATACCTTTTACCACTTGTACGACAGAGCCTTTTAGCTAAGCAGTGAGCTGATTGCTCTACTGGTCTCACACAGGAGGTGTGTAGAACAAGGAAAGAGGAGAGCAACTAGCCTACCTTTGGTTGGTTGCTAAGCCCAGATTAAAAAAAAAAAAAAAAGTTTTGAAAGCTCAGTCTGAATGTATTGGCCTGTGGTTTTAGCAGCTCTGTCCTAAATCTCTCAATACTGCTCAGTAACATTTCACCTCAATTTACTCCTCTCTATTCTTTTGCCACGTTTCTAGAGGCTCAAAGGAGGCTGCAGCACTAATTTCTCCCTCACTATGTAAATATAATTTCATGCATTTTTCCTAAAACTGCACTGTGAGCGACTGCTTCCGTACTGAGGCCTTTCCTTTCTTCCGAGCATCCGGAATGAGTGCTTTGCACAGCCTCCATCCGATTCTGTTACACACAGCAATCTCAGGCTGGGTCAGGCATGGGACTCCAAATGAGCTGAAGGTGCTGTTTTCTGGGGAAGTGCACTTGAGAGAAAAGGGGTGTTGCTGCTTGTGTTGCAAGGTTTGCATTATGTACTTGATTAAACTTGAGGGCTATAAGTAGAGCACTTGGTCATGCTGCTGCCTGAGATTTATTGTCTGGGAACCTTGGCACCGAATTGCTTAAAAAAGAAAAAGTGGCACTCACACTGGTCTATCCAGGATTTTGCAATATTTAGTGAGATGGAAAAGGGCTGCATTTCTTTTGCAAGGTTTGCTGGTTTCCTTATGTAGTTTTCTTCATGAGCTGCCACGCAGCACTGGTGCTGCTGGGGCTCACCTGCCACCCACACGCAGCTGGGACTGAAAACTGCACTTCTGTGAGGTTCATGAAAATGTGCATTGAGAAGGTCTTTCTCTTAATTGTCATGGCTTTGAAAGGGAGTTGTGACCAGTTAAAGTGGTCTAACAAAAGACAATACCTCTTCAGTTGGGTACTCTGTTTCTTTGAACTCGCACTAGTTGCTATATTGGCTTAAAAAAAAAAAAAAAGGCAAAAGGTTAGTAAGAAGAAAGATCTTTCTGCAGAGAAGAAAAATCATGTGATGTTTCCAGTGCTTCAGGACCTTCTGCCACTAAAAACCACCTGGTCGTGGTTCCTTGTGTAGAAGTCCTATTTCCCTATGCCATAGGTCTACCATCCAAATGTGTTTCATTTGGATAAAACACATCCAAATACCTTGTTTCTGCTATGAAACTTTTTTTTGGTGCAGGAGGTTTTATGGCAACTCTGAAACTGCCATGAAATTCCAGGTTGTCCAACTACTAGGCAGCAAGTCAAAAAAAAACTCTTGAGTTTTACCTGTCCTTGTTTGTTACTGTTGGTATTTTATTGTAGTACCCCTACAAATAATATTGCAGTCATGCTTAATGAAAATACATTTCTATTACAGTCTCTGTGCTGTAAATACCAAGAATAAAATGAATGATTTTATGTTATGAGCATGAAATTTGCTATACTTATTTACTCTTACGATTAGGACAGATGGGTTTGTTTATTGGATAATTTTATCAGTTGCCCTTCAAGAGTTTCCTCAGAACCTGTGGTGCAGTCCCTGTGGATTGCTTGTCTAAGCTGCAATAAATATAGCTGATAAATTCTTACTGCTTTCAGTTTTTCTGCTAGTTCAAATGAAGACATCAGTATTTTCTACGTAAGTCAATAAGTGATCCTGCTATAACAGGTTGGTAATACTTTTGAGCCTTGCAGTTTGCTTTCTGGCCATGCGTTACTTATATGAGTTGGTTTAGCTGATTAAGAAATGAAGGTCTGAGCTTGCTAAAGACATGAGCATTTCTTGAAAACTTGGGTAGGGTCTAGGACTTTTTAGGGTTTGTTTTAATTATGCCACAGTCCGTTCTCTGAAAGTCACATTCCACCATTGTTGTGTATCAAATTAATTAGCCCTAATTGCAAGTTAGTGCTGAAAATTTGGAGTGAGCTTTTAAGTGCACGTATGTCTTGTATGTCCTTAGGAGAGAAACAGAAAGAAAAGAGTTTTCCCACCAAGTGAATATCATTTCAGTGTTCACAACAGAGCAAATTTTACAAGATATGAATATTTTTAAAAGGAACTTTCAGGAAATAAAAAATTGAAAATGTATATCAGGTATCTATTATGAAGTGTTACAGCAAAAAAAAATGTGCCATCAAAGAGGTTTGTGAACTGAGCACCTAGTTTTGGAGTTCAAAACCAATTTAACCCTGTTGATTACATTTTTGTTAAAGTTGAATTTAAAATTTTTGAAGCTGCATATGGGTGGATGGGGTTCAGGGCACATGACAGCCTTCATATAATCCCCAAAAGGGTTGACTTGGATTTTGTAGATTCAAGGTAGTAAAATTCATAAAGGCTGCTCGTTTAAATATTTTAAGTGAATTTCTGTCACGGAGGACACTTATAGATTGCCTGTGTGACACTGCTGTAGCACTCTCTGATTGCGTACCAGGGAGGAAAGGAGCAGGACCTTGGTGCAAGACAATCTTCTGAATGTTGTCATATTGAGAAGACAAATTTACCTTCTCAGCGCTTCAAGTTTACATGTAAAATTTAACATTGCTATTTCTTTCTAAGCAGGTGTGAAAGTGAAGAGCTTGATGTTGAAATAAGAAACCTGATAGAGAAGAATAATACTTACCAGTCACATGAGGACCCTGAACCTATTGCCCAAGAGAGTCTGAACAATCAGAGAACTTCATGTTCCCTTAAGGTAAAGGCAGTCCGCTTTTGCAATGTTTATCTGCCAGGAAGGAACATTCAGGGGATGTTCCCTGGGTGACTTGATTATGCATGAAACTTTTGGATTTTTGAAATGATGCAATGACCTTGCTACACTTTTTTTTTTTTTTTCTGATGCAACTACTTTGTGTTATGAGTGAGAAGGCATGTCTTATAGCGCTTTAAAAGGTCAGCTAAATCCACCGATCATCCAAAGTGCCACTCTCTGTAGCCAGCTGCGCCTGTTGGATAACACACATCCACCAAACTTAGATACCCCAGAGCACTGACATTTCTTTAGCTTGTTGTGTTTGGTAGTTCTGCTTTAACTGAGGATGAGCAGAGGTGTGGGGGGCAAAAAGCTTTGGGAATGTCAGATAGGCTTTTAGATAAATAGGAAGAAAGAAGAAAACGGTGATTCAAACCCACGCTTCTGGGGTATTATAAACAGAAAATCTTAAGCCACCTGCTGAGATGGTCGCCTTTTCTTGCAGTGAAGCAGCGGTTAACAAGCATGACAGAAACTCGTTCTAGGTTTCCCTCTCAGTTTCCCTTCTCTGCACTGAAATAGCAAGCTGATTTTTATTGTGCAGTAGGAGGACAAAAGGAAATTCCTGTTTTCTGCAAACTGGGAAAGGGAGGAGTGAGAGAAGTGATTAAGCCATGAATGCCATCCACCTGTAAGGGATGACACACTTACCTGCCTGTGTGGCTCCAGTGCGGGATGAAGGCTGTGCCAGGAGGTGGGATGCAGGAAATTGATGAGGAGGTAAAGGAGAGATGACTCTCTTCTATGAAATCTGAAATTACACATAGCTCCTTTCACATGTAAACCGCCATCTCCAAAATGACTCATGACCTCAGGGCATGAAACTGAGCTGAGCCTAAGGAGATGCCCCAGGGTCAGACTAGTGGGATTAGAAACAGTGAGAGAGAAGCCACAGGGAGGAATGGGGATTCCCGACCCCAGGGGAGGAATAAGCCTGGTGAAACAGACGTCAGTGCAGAGTCAAGTAGCATTGAGCTCTGAAACTACAGGGCAGAACAGCAAGCCACAAAAGGTTTGTGGAAACACCTGGTCCCCCATATTAGCCTTCCTCCAATGGAAGGAGATGTAGGAGAGGATCTGGTGGATATGGGGAGGAAAAAGAAAGGATGTGCTCACCTCAGTGGTTTCTGTGGCATGCTTCAGCGCTTCATGAATACCGAGGCAGTATTTCATCTGCAGTGCTTTTATGCTTTTTGCATTTGTAGCACTGTTTGCCCTTGAAAGATCCACGTGTGTGGTTTTCATAGCTTAAAGGAGGAAGTTTTATGGTGTTTCTGAAGTCAAAATATACTAACTATTTTTTATTTATACTTTAAAGTCAAACAGCTTTTCACTCGGTTAGTTATTGACTTGGACTTCAAGTGAGTGACAACTTGACAGTTGTGATAAGCTCCAACAAGCTCAGTATAAGACGCTAGGAGTACATGTATCAGACTCTGTGTTTTGGAAAATGACGTAATGTTTTTAACGAATCCACTATACTTTCAATTACAAAGGTTATAAAATCATATTAAAAATACCCAGAAAATATCAGTTTGTGATATGAAATGCTGATATAGACTTAAAATGAGGGGGGAATTCGTTATTTAGGAAACAGAAAAAAAGTTAATTATGAAGCAAAAGTGTACCCTTCCCTACAGTGTTGGTCATTCATCAGAAAGTTCTTTGTCAGAACCAGCAAGACATTTTTATTCTGTTACTTTTTTTTCCTGGACTGAAGAGTGTAAATTGCACACTGCAAAATGGTGTTTCCTTCTGAGCTTTAATCACTTTCAAGACTGTTAGCTCAAAATGTCTGTAAACAAATTCCCTTTTTCACCAGGATTTTTTTCCATAAAAAATATATAATATTATTGTGGTTTTACAGGCAAATATTTGAGAGAAAGAAAACATAGTTCTGCAGAATGAGCTAATTCTGAGTGCATGCTTCGTCCCATGATTCCTTTATCTGTAGGACTTTAACTGCAGCTTGTCATGATCATAGCATCATAGATTGGTTTAGGATGGAAGGCACCTTAAAGATCATCGAGTTCCAACCCCACTGCCATGGGCAGGGACACCTTCCACTAGACCAGGTTGCTGGTCTCTGCTCCAAGGAGAAGGAAAAGAGGCAGGAGATTACAGAAAAACATCCTTACAGGCAGGTCCCAGTGATTAGAGCCTGTTGGTGTACTCAGGTCCCTGACACCCACATATGGTTAATTGGTCTAATACAATGGACGTTAGTGCCTTTGTCCCTCTATGTAATTTGTCTAGGTGAGCAAACCGACTGGGGTTTTTTAGGTTTTAAGCTGAAATGAGAGGTGAGACATTCCTGTGGCATCATTACTTTACACTGATTTAAGCTCTTCTCAGTTTAACGAAATGTGTTCACTTTTGCAAGAGCCATTGACCAAAAAAGGATACCATGGAGTGGAATCTTTTACTGATTAGAACAGTGATAATTTCAAACTCACATCTACTGATTTATTCCCCTTGTCTTTCGTAACATCACTTACTGCTGCGATGTGCAGTAAAAGTTTATGTGAATGAGAAGGATTGCAAGCTCCAGTCCTGCAGAGGCCATAATCTGTGAAAGTGCCTGTCCTCAGAATGTGCCTCAGGAAGGAAAGGGTTCCTTCTTCTGTCTTCTACAGAGGAGGAAACTGAAGGCCAAAAGGATCAAGAATTTTGCTATTTTAATAAAAGAAATCAAAGAAACATATTTCTTACCTCAAAAAAAAAAGCAGCTTCCTTTTTCAAACTTAAGTATAAAGCTGATTACATTTTACTGGAATAAGGTAGACTAAATATTATGCTTAAAAATACAAATATTACTAAAAAGTACTCATGCAGAGTGTTTTCAGTATGTTTAGGGCGATTTTACACACAAGAAGGATGTTTTCTAGGGGAGGTGAGGACTGTTAAAAGTATCGAATAGGAAGGGAAGAATAGCAACTAAAATAATTGGTTTTCTACATCTTGCTCTAATTTTATCTGGTTCCCACATATTAAGGCACACATTTTCATCTGCACTTATTTTTCTGTTAGAGTGGGTACGTAACTGAACAGCACAAAAGGTTGCTGCTGACATACATACTTAAGGGAAAATCCCTTTCTAGCACACTTCTCTAGCACGCGTGGACCAGGTTTAGACAGGAAGAGGTAGATTCTTTTTCTGGTTTAAGAGATGATTTTATTCTTCAGCTAAAATCCCTCATTTTTACCATTTCACCATGTGCACCAGAGTAGGAGAAGGGGTTGCAATGGATACTGTACCAAGCACTGCTGGCATGAAAACCAGCTTCAGGAATAAAGCCAAAAGCAAAGCTCAACCAAAATGTAAGTAGGCAGAAGATTCCCTAGAAGCCACCAAATTTTAACTTAAGTAATATCAGAGTAAATCTGGCTCCTACAATTCTGTGACTGAATGGTACAATAAATGAAAACAACAAACAAACAAACCCCAACAAACCTCACAAAAAAGAAAGATGATTTTATCATTTTGTCATCATGAAGGAAAGACTCAGTTTTGCTTGAACCAAACATTTTAATGGTTCTTGGTTTCACTGCAGTTACTGAACAGATGAAATTTTCAGAAGTGATGAGTGGCTTTCATTATCTTAATTTGTGAGTGCCTGTTTTGTAATACAGTAATAGAAGCCTTTCCCAGAATAAAGATCCAGCAATCTGAAAATGAGAACTTTTATCTTCTTGTGGTGCTGATGCTTGTGAGAGGATTCAGTGTTGGCTACAGATCCAAGGCTTTGATTTTTCTCCCACTGCAAGCTTCCCAAAGATGACTAAAAGGCTTTTACACTTTTACACTCAGAAAGGTCAGGTCTTCCTAGAATACAAACTAAAGTAATTCTCATTTTTAAAAAGGGAAAAAAACCCACCCAAACTCAAAACTGCTACTAATAGAAATTACAGAATATCCCAGAAATAGAATAGAAGTTAATAAAAGGCTTCTAAACAGTTCAGCCCACTTTGCCCTTTTTCAGATGGGCTTGTATGCTGCCGCTTGTGAGTTAACTCATTGCATTCCTGAGGGGCAGCAAATCCTGGCTGGTGCCTCCCATTTGCTTCTTGGGAAGCTTTTTGCATACGGGGCAGCTAACTGTCTTATTGCTGCTCCTTGCAGCAGTCTCTCTACAGGATCTTCTGGATCCCAGCTCCCTGCCAGGTGTTCCTGGCAGCCACGCTCCAAAGTACCTGAAACTTTTTTCCTGAGTGTGCTCAAACTGATGGCCATAAAAGAGGATGTTTTCCCCTTCACCCCAGTCTTTAAAGTAATACAAGACAGCTGTGAACAAAATCGTATTCTGCAGTGGACAGAGCTGTGTCACTTTTTATAGCCTCCCTGAAATACACAGACATATAGGCCTTTATCTACCTGGGGTCCATCTCACATTTTAGAGCAAGAGCTTAAGTAACTTACACATGAAGGTTGGGAGGGAAAGAGTGGAAAGGAACAGTGTTGGTACTTTATAGTCAGAGACAGACTCTGTTTCCATAAGTTTAGAATCCTAGAATAGTTTAGGTTGGAATGGACTTAAAAGATCATCTAGTTCCAGCCCCCCTGCCATGGGCAGGGACACCTCCCACTAGACCAGGTTGCTCAAAGCCCCATCCAGCCTGGCCTTGAACACCTCCAGGGATGGGGCATCCACAACTTCTCTGGGCAACCTGTTCCAGTGCCTCACCACCCTCACAGTAGAGAATTCTTTCCTGGTATCTAATCTAAGTCTTCCCCTTTCAGTTTAAAATCATCACCCCTCGTCCAATTGCTCCACTCCCTGATAAAGATTCCCTCCCCATCTTTCATGTTGGCCCCCTTCATGTCCTGGAAGGGGCTATAAGGTCTCCCCAGAGCCTTTTCTCTGCGTTGATATAATCTATAGGACTGTACCAGGCCAGCACAAGGTAGCAGAACATTGTGAGAAGACAACAGATAATTACTGTTCATGTCACTTGTGCCTAGTCACAGTACCCTCTTCTTCAGAAGCTGACTCTGGACTCTTCAAGTGTCCTAACTTCAGTACAGTCAGAACACACAATTACACAGTGACAGCCTGCTAGTGGATGCTGCAGATGTGGCTGTGAGAGACAGACCATGGTGAAAGGAGACATCACCATTCTCTGATCTGACACTAACGTCTGGGTGACCTTTAACATTCAGTTGGCCTGTTTCCCTGTGTGTATAATAGGATTATTGCCTACTTCCACAAAGACTTTTGAAGTCATTAGGTGTAAGCTTTGATTTGATACACACTTTTAATAATGCTATAGTGCTTGGTCTCATTTTTAAAATGTGTGTTACTTCCTCTTCCTTCGCCACTATGGGGATTTTTGTGGTTTAACTATTACTACATTCTCTCAGGTAGCATGCTGTGTTTATTCATTTTAGAAGTTGGCCTGCTCGCATGTCTGTTTCCCAGAGGATGGCCTTCCTATTTCACTCAGCCTTGCTTTGGTGGTACAGAGGTTTACTTTCTTTCATTGCCTGACAGTTACTGGCTCATATTTTTTGCAATATATTAATTGCTACAGGAATGTCAAGAAATGCAATTGTGGAAATTGCTGCTGAGTTACCAGCCAGTAGTTCTTCCTTCTTTAAACCAATGCTGTACATGGGCGGAATATGCTCAAAGATTAGTTTTGATATAGGTACAGATGAAATTATTTTATTTTTTGATGGGTTGGATGATTCCTGTGTAGAATGTAAAATGTCTTTATTAAAATAACATTTGTGTTTTAATTTCTCTCTGTATACCCTGTGAATTTTCCAGCCAATCCATAAAACAGGAAAAAATAAAAAAGAACATCAGGCTAGGTAGGATATATTTCATATGCAAATATTATAAAATAGTAGCTTTCTTCCAAATTGGATTTTGTATCTTGCAAAAGAGGTATTGCTTAGTCACACATTATGAATCAGAGATCTGGAATGCGGCTGTTAAATTCCAGCATTTCCCAGGATTACTTTACTTTTCTAAATCCTTTTTTGGAAATTGAGAGAGCTCCCGCAGAGTTATATTATTTTATGTCAAATTTCCTAGGCTAGCTTTCATTCCCTTCCTTGAAAAGGAAATAAGCTACCTCTGTCCCTACTGAAAAAGCCTCAGATCCAAGGATCTTTCCACAATAAGGAAAATGATTTTTCTTTCACGCTTCCTTCTCAAATCCATCATTATTCAGAATTCCAAAAATGAATACAACAATACTTTGCACTTTTCTGTTTCATCCTGACTTTGCATGTGAAATCTGTAGAAGCTTTTTCTTTGTTAATTTTTCCTGACATTTTAGCTTGGTAAGGTTAACCTCTTTTTCCAAATGGAAAACTAAGACACAACTTTGAAGTACTGGGTACCTTGAGTAGCTGTGAGTGAAGGCTTGAGTAGCTTCAAGCTAGATCCATGCTTACATAAGGGAAGTACTGGAACTGCAAATATGATGTCCTTAGGAGAAGAATACCAACACCTGACATTCTTCATCTTTGTGCAGCTTTTCTTCAGGGAAAGTAAATCAAATTTCCAGTTATGGTTTTCCCCTAAAGGGGTTTGTATAGGTGTGCTCTTCCCCATAACTGTTAACAGACTTGGCTATTACTCCTTTGTAAGCATGACTCACTAATTTTTCAGTCGTGATAGTTCAAACTGTTGTAGTGTCTCTTAATACCTGTCATCCTTATGTAACTCTTTTTTTACAGTTGGGAGCAGGGATAGAAAACCCTGTCCTCTTATTTACTGAAAAAACTTACCCTTCCTTCCCTTATACATGCAACTTCCTCTCTCGGGGCCAGTTGATTGTGATTTACATGCACACCAAGCAGGGTACTGCCTTGCCTGGTATATTAGTCACAGGCAGTGTGCTTCAACCCTTCTGGGAAGCCCCAGCCAGGAAGGAGGAAAAGGTTAAAAACCAAAATTCCACCCCTTATTTCTGAACCTCAGCTGCTTCCACAGGCAGCACTAGTGGATCTTCTGGGTCTCAATGCAATTCTCTTGCTTCTTTAGTCACTATAAAATATCTCTTTCGTTGCTCCTCTTCTTCCAAAGACCCGTAGTGAAACAAATGCTCAAGGCCTTCTTGGATGCACACGGGCAGGTGTGAGTGATATGGAAGCCCCAGCAGACCCACTAGAAGTAAGTGACTTTTTTGGCCCTCCTTTGAAGTGCTGTTGATTAACAGCATCGACTTTGAGCTGGTGTGGGTATTATGCATGTCACTTTGTAGACTGGCAATTATGGGCTTGTTTTTGTGTTCCAGTAGATTTGCCTGAATGATTTATGCTGCTGAATTGAATTGTTTTTAGAATCTTGGCTTTAGGCGTGTATTTAAGAGCATATTTAAGAGTCCTGTTAAAGTGAGTAAGACAACTTACAGATTTAACTACTATAATGAAATACTAGAAATATTTTTGGATACAGCATTATTCGAAAGAAAGCCTTCCCTATTGTTTTGGTTTTTTTTTTCCCCAGAAAAGTATCTGGTCAATTTAATTTGCTATACAAAGGGTAGAAAGTGGTTCATTTTAGTTACCCAACAAATTCTGTGAGCAGTATTCGGGCCAGTTGGTGCCAAGTGTGTATATAGTAGTTAGATTTGTAAGTTGTCTTATTCACTTTAATAGGACTCTTAAATATGCTCTTCATTACATGCCTAAGGCCTAGATTCTGAAAACAATTCAATACATGAATAACTCCATTGACTGCCAGGTAATTGTTTCAGATACATTAAGTTAAACAAGTTGATGGACTTCTACGGGAAAAAGGATTAAAAGGATTAAGTGTTTTCTGGCATGGAAGTCAAGTGCTCCACATTAGAGCTCAGCAGGATGGGCCATGGGGCAAATATGTAGTCAGGATTTTGCCTGTGGAAAGACACAACAAAACTATACTTTAATCTTCTTTAATATTTGACATTAAATTTTCTAGCTGAAAAAAAAATTATTTCAGGGGATTAAAGTCCTTAGTAGTGCTCACACTTTTATCCTAGTTTCTCATACGTTGGTTGAGAATTTAGGGAGCAAAAAAAATCCCTGAGTAGGTATCCAAACACAGTATGTTTTATTTTTATAAGCATGTATCTTTTTTCCAGTAGAGTTCTTTTGATACACATATATATGTGTGTACATATATCTAATAGATCACATTTGTTTTCATGACAGAAACTTCTTGGAAATTATGATATATGACATTGTCATTATAAAAAAGAGGATTTAGCAGCTGTTGTCCTGCATGGGCAAAACTCCACACTTCAAAAAAATGAAATGGAACAATTGCAGACTGATTTCCTAATTTCTCCAAATCGCCTATTCATTTTCTGTATTGCTTGTTTTGAACCCATTGTTCTAAAGTTTATTGTCTCGGGCCTGCAAGCACTTACCAGGGGCAATACTACTAATTACTCTAATTCTTGTAAATGAAGGGAATTACTTACACCCACTTCAACTTATGCTCAACTTTTGTGGCTTGTACTACTTGTTTGTACTACCATCTGTAAGATAATTAAATTTCTATTTTGTATTCTATGTCTCAGATGTTACAAATAGACATAATTTTGTTTATTTCAGTGTCCTTTTGCATAATGCTTCAACTAAAACACAGGCTAAGCGAGGTTACAGCAAATGTATGCTTCAGCATCTGCTGTCAGCAGGTGTAAAGGTACTAAAATACAAATGCAATGTAAGAAAATGTTGCTGGTTTAGTTTCTGTATGTGCATGCGGCATAGTGGGTGGGAGCTCTATATGGCAATCTAGACTTGAAGAGAGGTTGCCGAAAACATTCATCTTTGAACATTTCTTTTCTCCAGTCAAGGCACATACTACTGACAGAAAAGAGCACTATGTCAGCCAGTTCTCTGGAACAACAGATCCTCTCACTGGAAAGACAGAAACGACAGGTAATCTTAAGTTTACGCTTAACCTTTACAGAGAGAACCTCTAAGACAGACATTACAATATCACTAATATGCCCAGGGCAAGAAATCACTGAATATGTTATCTCTGTTATTTACACTGCATGTGTGCTGCAGTTGATTTTAACCACCTGTCCAGCAAGACCTATGTTTTTCCTGTGGGAACCTCATGCCATGCTCTTGTGAGACAATTTCTATGCAGAGACTTTCTGTTTTGCATTTCTTCACAGCACAAAGAGTGTAAGCACTTAAAATCATGTTTCAATTAGTTCCTATTGTCCTACTTCTCTCTACCAAGATAGGCAGAGTTATATTTGGAGAACTGTTCCTAAAAACAAATTATGACTTATTGTAACGTGGATATGAATCTAGACGAGCAGAGATTTATACAGTACAAAGGGCAATTTTTTTAATGATGACTGTTGTAAAGACCAAGGAACCACTGTGAGTAGTAGGCAGTGGTGTCTTGGTCACAGATAGGAGCAAACTAGAAGCCCTTCTTTTGCTGAGTGTCCTAAAGAGTGACCCTATATCCAACGAAGCAAAATGCTTCAGAGGGATGTATTTGGCTTTCTCCAATAGAAGTGCACACATGCTGACTTGTACCACTTACATGTGTGGTGTTAGCCAGTCTTCCCATCTTGCATGTGTATGCTGACTTGATTAGAGGTACTGAGAAAAGCAAGTGAGGTCTGCACCCAGTAGTAATTGCAGTCAATAGGAGTCTTCATTTGTTTGAAGTCTGGGAGCTTCTAGTTGGAAATAAATTTGTGTAACTTAAAGCAAACTAAAAAGTCCTTGGCCATTCAGGAGTTGCAACATGGGATTTGTACAGTGTTGGAAATGATTCAGCTGTAGCTTATTGTGTATTTGCATGTGTCCTGAATGTTACTTTCTGAATGTTCATGTCCTTTAACTGAAATACCAAAGCACTGGCAAACAAGCCATAACTTGCCAAATCTTAAACTTGTTTTTTGTGAAATGAACTGGCTGGATAATGAGAAGGTTGTGAACACTCATAGCTGGAGGATTAGAATGCCAGTCTGGTTTTGATTTATTGACAATGTTGAATAAGGGTTATTTACTGTGACTTCCTGATAATTACAGCTTCTGGAGGTGAACAAGCAATGGGATCATCAATTTAGACGTATGAAACAGCTTTATGAAAAACAGGTAACAATGTTGACTACTTTTATTGGAATATGGATGCCAACTGCTGATATTTAAGTTTGTGCTTAAATGCCAAACAACCATGGCTATAATAAATATCTTAGAGGGGAAAGGCATAATGTTTACTTTACCATTAGCTCACAAATTAAAAAAGCTTCATCACAGTAAAGTGAAGCTAATGTGCGTTCAATCTTCAGTAAAACGAAATAACCAGAGAAGCAGGGCATCTCTGAAATAGTAGGGACCAGGGTAGACGTTACAGCAGAGATCTTAATGCCCTGCACGAGGTAATAAAAGTTGCTCACACTTCAGAGCATAATTAACTGAAAATCAGCCTGCACTACCTGGTATGCCCAGCCACTGATCCACATCATCACGTATCTGTTCTTGTCGCATCTCTTGTGGCTGGCTTGTGAAGGCTGGAAGCTCACTGGGACTCCTTGTAATGCGGGAGCTCTCGGCTAAATCCTCCATGAATGCTGCCTTCCATAAGGAGAGAGACTTTTTTGCTTTTGAGAAACTGCTCTGTACAAAATCTCTCCATTAAAAAAGAAAATTGTAATAAATGCTTTTTATTTCCGTGTTTGACAAGATCCCCTTCACATAGCTTTCATTCCTCCTTGTGACTGTGTGGCATCTTTGCTTCACTTTGCCTGGTAAAGCTGGCTGCTTGCAATTTTTCCAAAAATTCCAAAACCGAGTTGATTCTATCACTTCTTATCTCTTGTTTCCTTCTATGAGAAGGAAGTTTGCAGAATGACCTTGTGTTTATTAGGAAAATTGTCTCTCTAATGTTTTCCAGTAAGATTTACTGAGGTGTGGATCATTTATTTGATTATTTTTTTTCTTTCCCCAAAGAGAAGAGGAATTTAAATGGCTCTCCTTCATATAATATGGGACCCTGCTATGCTTCTGGCTAGATCATTTGGATATGTACCACTGCAGAGGGAGTCCAAATTGCAAAAGGAAGAAAAAAGGAAAAAAACCACTAAAATGTAAAATCCATTTGGAGGGACAGACCCATAGTAGCTGTCCTTTGGCAGCAAAACAGTGCAAGACCCAACTGGGTTAATGCCAACAGAGAATTTGGAAGGGATCACTAGGGGTTTCTACTGCAGACAGAGCAGCTGAGCTTGGAGGTGGGGAGGGGAAAGTTAGTGTCTGGGGACTTCACAGGCAACCAGATCCACTCCTTTATGCCTATCTGCTGTGAGCTGAAAAGATTTGAAGGCACCTTCAAGGTGCTGTGCCTTTCAGGATTCCCAGTCAGCCCACCGTGGTCTGTCACTTGCTTTTCAGCTGGCAGAAATGAAAGCAAAATTGGAGATGTCGGAGAAGAGAGTCGGTGAGCTGGAGGAAGAGAGACATCGTCAGCATCCTGAAGATGAGAGGTTGCGAGCCCCGGGCAGAGAGAGGCCGTTGCAGGAAGCGGTAGGAGGACGCATGCTGTTACCCTGGTCGTGTTCAGTGTTGAATGTTGTCTTGCCTTTCTTCTTTCTCATCTTGCAAGTGGCAGGGCGTGGGATGTTGCACCGACGTGAGATGAGACTGTGGTGTGGAGTGCTCTTCAATATATAACCCAAGGCAGGGGCTGATCTTCTGTGTGATCAGAGAGCTATGTATAGAGAGACAGTCATTTCAATAGAAATTGGCAGAGAGCACGGCATTAGCGTGCATGGGGGTGTAAAGAGTAGATTGATATAAATACTGCAGAGATTTCCTGCCTCGCTGTTCAGTTCGAGGTGAATTTCTTTGTGAACGAAAATGCTACAGTGATTTCAGATGGAACAGGAACATCATTGCAGATGTTACATGAAGTGTTTGGTAACAAATACTTGAAGGAATGAATTCAGCTCAACATAACCCACATTTTGGTATTGACAATGTGTATGCTAGCTGTGTCAGCTTGCTGTAAATATCAGCCATGTAGTCAGTGCAGTTATTAGGGCTGACAGTGCCTGGGCTGATCAGCTGCTCTAGAGCGGTGCTCACCTCTCTCTGAGAGTGGTTGGGCACCTCTCTCAGAACTCCTTATGCACTCGCTCTCTGTAGGCATTTGTCTCTAAAGTTAGATCCCTAAGCTGAGTTCCCACCACAGTAAAACCACCGACCTGAGCCATCGGTGTGCATATCCCCCACGGATACACAAAAGTTTGTGCTCCATTTTACAAGCACCACAGAGAGGTGCTTCCTATTCTCATTCTGCTTCATGGTGTCACATGCTTCATAAACTCTTGTAAGAGTTTCTGCATGGTGCTCTGGTGGCTGAAGTAGATGTTCTCTATTCGCTTGATAACATGAAGCAAACCTGGAAACCAGTGACAATCACGTCACTTCCAGGCTCAGATAAGATGTAAGCTAGCTGCTGCTGGAAAAGAAATGCAAAGCCCTTAGCTTTTATCTTCATAAGCAGAACATTCATCTTACTTGCTTATCAATTATGGTATGGTCTTAGCTAAGCATGTGCTTGATTTTCCAACCAACAGGACCATTTACATGTTTTAAAGTAAACTATGATGTTTTATACTTGCTGAGTCACTGCCTATGTTTGCTCCAAGTGTGGATTCAATGGGAGACAATGGGTGTTCCTGTTCATATTACTAAGGTTTTTACTGCCTGCCCTTTAATATATGATAGATGTGAAAAAGAGCCCTAGCTACCTTTTCGAAAATATAAGGATGAGCCGTACACTCTCCCAATCTTTTTTATTATGTACATAAATAATGAACTAAATGACAATATAATACAAAAATCTCTTATGGGGGCAGGTTAATCTGCATGGAACTTCAGCCTTAGAGCAGCAGTTTCTTTACAAATTATGTACTCATTCAGTGAGTGCTTCTGTTTACTCTGAATTTCTTTACTTCTTGCATGGCATACAGGGATACAGGACATGTGCAGCTTTGCAGAGGTAGCTGCTAAAAGCAGAGATTTTCCAATAAGCACCAAGGATTGTAATACCCATGTCAGCAGATGTGCCAACTCAAGTTATCCTATGCTGCCCACGGGCATGATGAAGAAAAAGTAGTGCCAGAAAAATAAATAAAGATGCATTCAGCTTGAAAGCATGTGAGCAGGCTAAAGTTCAACAGATGCAGGAGAGGCCCAAGCTGACAGATCTATCAAGATTAGGTTTTTGGGGCTTTATGTTTTGAGTTTTTTTCTGTAGCAACTAACATTCTTCGTACTTGCATTTGGTTTTATATAGGGGGGTGTGTGTAGTTTTGTTTTTTTTTTCTTTTCTTGAAAGGTGACAACCTTTTCTTTTAAAAAAGTTTTACTTAACCCCTGTAGCCATGGAGTTGGAATGGGCTGCGTAAGGCAATTGCCAGAGCAAAGTAATAAGATGTTTGTTCTCTAGTTGCTTCTCTAGTCCAGCAGACTGACAGTACTTTTTAAATTTATTTACTCAGAGTGGCAGTTCTCTGGGTGCTGGTGCTCTGCTGAGCAACACCCAACAACACAGGTTAAAAAGATATTTTTTTAATGCACCTGAAGGTATGGCTCTCACAGAAGGATAATGTGAATTTTATCTGTCCCCATGTCCTCCAGGGCACACAAGGGAAAACTGTTTTGGAGATTCGATTTTTTTTATTTTTATTTTTTTTATTCTCTCAGGGTAATCCATAGACAGGAATCAAACTGTCGTTTGATTCCTGCCTAGTCATTGTAAAGTCTAGGTGCCATAATACCAAAAATTCAGTGTCAAATAAGAAGCAATAAGATGTAAGAATTCAAGATGCTTCAAAAACATGAACAAACTGGAAGTCTTTAGTTATAAATGGCCTGTGCGCTGTAGGTGTCAGCCTCTGAGAAGGAGGGTGTGTGCTAGGAGCTAGGAAAAGAAGATGGCAAAAGTGAAGAGAAGAGCATAGCTGAAAGCCTATATGGATTTTAGTGTTTTGTTTTTCTTTAATATCTTAAAACATACATGTGTGTGCCAGCTTGAGCTAGCTCCTGGAGGAGTTCCTGTGCTTAATGCAGAGATACCTTGCTAATCTTGCCCAGTTTTTGGATAAAATGAAATCTTCCAACTAACTTAGAACAAAGGAAAATAAAGGTACTTCATATATAAGCAACAGTTTCTCAAGAGTGCTTTTCAGGGGCTCGATTAGCACACAGTGAGGCACTTAGGAGCTCAAACCGTAAATGCCAAGTCACTGGCTGCACAGAGGTATGCCTGTTGCGCAGAAAAAGGCATTCATATGGTGTCCTGTGCATGTGATAGTTGGATCTCATTTTTTTTTAATTGCATAAAACAGCAGAAGAATATTTGAAATACTTCTTTTTTTCTTTCTTTACAGCTTTGGTCTAAGACAGTCTGGCAGAAGTGGGCTGGTGAGGAATGCATTACCCTGCAAGAGAAGCTTACACAATGCCATTTGCTTCAGGGTCTAATTCAGATCTTAACTCCCTCAACTGTAAATTGAAACTAGCCACACTTAAAGTGATAGAAGAAGAGAATCAAACTTAAATTTTTACAAATCTGTCCTAATAATTCCTACAATACCATCTTGAAAAACTAGTGTGTAAATCCTGTTGCAAGTAGGGACATCTTCCTGGTAGTTTTACAGGGTGGCAATGTGCACTAGGAAGGGTCAAGCTCAACTCGACAATTGGGATGGAGTCAAAGAAAGTGGATTTTTAAGCCTTGGTTGGTCGCTTGGTAATTTTTAAGCTGACTGAGACCTGCCTTAGCCTTTCATGTAGGGGAAAAAGCCCTCAGACTACATGATACTGAGATCTGTTTGTTTTTTTTTTTTAATGTCCCATGACCCTGGGAATGGCTGGGATGCCATTGCGCTATGAGTATATAGGTGTAATGCAGTTTTGGGATGATCATCCATAGGTACCAATCTGCTTGGCCTGCCAGCTTTCTCATGCCTGCAGGCTGTAGAGAGCAGGGATTTTATCTGCTATGTTGTCTTGGTCTCATCATATGGTGAGTGGTCAAAACAACTTAGACTTTATCATATCTGGGTTTTACTAACCATCCGCCTTCCTGTTGCATCCCTTCCCAGCTGTGTCCCAAAAATGCAGCACATCTGCCAGACAGCAGATATTCTGAAAATTGTTCTTGAAAAATGGTTCCATCTGCATTTCAGCAGCATCTCTCTGTATTTTTGCATCCCAGAAAGAAACAAAGGTCCTTAGTGAAGCTCTCCAAGAAATGAAGGAAGAGAACAAGCTCCTGAAGCAGAAGAATGCCTCAATGATCAGAAAGAAAGAACACTATGAGTGTGAAATAAATCGTCTCAATAAGGTATGAAAAAGAATGAGCTACTGACCAGGACCTCTTCCTTTAATTTTAGGGTCTGCCAGATGCCCATCTTGTCAATCCTGAGTGAATAACCTGTTCATGGTAGCAAACTCATGATCACCATTTGGGAGCTGGGGAAACAAGCAAGAACTTACTTTAGCTAATACTTGTGTAGCTGTGCTTGGCAGGTAGTAGGGTTGCACTGTAAAGAGGAAAGTTAAGAGAATCTTTGCCTTCTCCTGTGAAACCTTTCTGCATGTCATATCTAAGCTCTTTCTATGCTCTCCTTCCTTAGAACAAAAGGTAAATGGCACAAAGAAATGTATGCATTGAAACACTGTGATTAAAAAAAAAAAGCAGTTTAAATTTTTTTGGTTTACATATATTCTGTGTTTGAGAATAGTGACTTCTATTCACAAGATATGCTCCTGCCTCGCTTTTTACATATACACATATATATTCATACATTTGTGTATTATGTGTATGTATGTCTCATTGAGGAAATTGCCATAAAATAGATAAATGGGATTTTTTTTTTTTTAGCTGAGGGAAAGTAATAAATGTAACTTTGTTTAATCAAAAGATCACATAAAGCAGTGGGTGTTTTCTAACAATTTTGTATTTCATGGTGAACCACAAACACTTCCTGAGGAAATGCACTACAGAACCATTGCTGTGTAACTTTAAGTGATACACAAGCTAAAGGGCTATGATGTGCAAAAGTCAAGGCAAGAAAGTAATGTTGCCATATTAAAAAATCTGACAGAACATATGATCCTCTAGGTCTTTTTGAAATGCATTGACAGGACTTGCTGAAAGCCTCAGTGTAACTTTCATTCAAGGTCTTGTTTGTAAAACAAGTTATCTCAATGTTTTATTTTGCTGTCTTATCTTATGATGTGGTTGAAACTAAGACAGATGACCATTCTTTTAAATGAAACATCAATTTCATGTAACACACTTTCCCACGAGTAATTTACTGACTTTCTGTGTTTATCCATCCTTCAAATCTCATGTCATGAATGCATGTAAGACTGGAAGGGACCCTTTTGAGTGTAGTCTCCTACTATTGCAGGTTCAGTGACTTGAAGTTCTTAAAAATTCTCCAAAATCAATCAACTTTTTCCATAAAAATACTTAAGCTTCTTCTACTGTGCTTCTGTTGGAAAGCTGTTCTGGAACTGTAACCCTTCTTTCATTCGGTGCTTTCATCTGTTTCAACTGAGCTGAATTTATTCTGGCCAGATGATATTCATTTGTTCCTCTGGTAGTAGTGTCGAACAGATCTACTTCACTCCTTATGTGAAGCAGAATTGTCCTCTAGTGAAAATACAATTACTCTCAAGGGCACATACTATTTCCCTATAGCTGCAGAGAGCAGTTGTATTTTCACTAGAGTTTAGCTAAGATGACATAGCTCGTTTGGTCTCTTAAAATACAGCTATGCCTGCTAACATGCATGGGTTTTTTTATCTTGGTCATTTTAAACTCCTTAGCTCTCAGTTTATGGGAGATACTACTACTTGTTTCTGAGTGAATTAGCCTTTTTCCTTTAAGTACATTGACTTTTTTACTTTTGGCTTCATTGAACTTTGACCCAGTTATCCGGAGTACCCAAAATATATAGTCCAATCTGATCCTACTTTGATGTCTGCAGCTTGAAAGTGATGTTTCAATGCCATAATAGTTTGCAATGCTGTATCCCAAGATTACTGGCATTCCCTATGGCTGTTTCCTTGTTCACCATATAGTTCAAGTACAAGCCGAATTTCTGACTTATTTCATAACTTTACTGCAGCACCACCTCAATTTTTATTTAAACATAGACTAATAAGCTTCAATTTATTTCCCCTCATAAGAAAATCTGTTTCTTATTAAAGTCATCAGGTGAAAGAGTCCTTTACTTAGTCACATTTCTCATGTCTATGAATCGATTGCCTTCAAAATTTCTTCTGAAGCCTAAAACACTCTTGAGGTTGGATTAAGAGATTTCTAGGTGCATGGACCACTTAACCTTTTTATAGCTTTGGAAACCAATGTAGTTATTTTTCAGTCATACAGTTCCATTTTTGACATTGAAAAATTCAGAAAACCACTGTGCTGCTTGTCTTGCATTTTCAGGTTTCAGTTCTCAGTACTTCTGAATGAATGTTATTTAACACCATATTAAGTTAAACTCAGTTTAACTAAGGAAGCTGTGAGTTCTTTCTCATTGGTACATCTTCCTTGAGGTTAGCTATCCTGCCACTGCCACAGTGCTCTACATTATCTTCCTTGTTGGAAATACTATCTTTAGGCTTGCTTTCCTGTGTAATGCCTTCCTTCTTGTACTGATTTTTGTAGTGGAATAAAATAATGTATGTGTTCATATTTAATAGTTTGATTTCTTTTGCATACAGTTCAGTGTGACTGTTTATCTTACCCTGTACTTTCATGTAGAAGCTGCCAAAAGTGGTAGCTTTTGTTGGGATTAAATCCTTTCTGCAGTCCCTAAAGGCATTTTAAGTTTTCTTCTTGAAATTATTCATCTAGCTATCTCGAACGTTTTCTGTACAGTTTTTGTCAGCTTCCTTGAGATGTGATTTTCTGGGCAGTAGGGGAATGGTTTGTTTGTTTGGGGTTTTTTTGTGCTTTGACTTTTAATTAAGTAGGAATAGCCAAATGATCTGAAAAAAATTGCATACAGGTCCGGTTATAGGAGGTACCTAGAAGCTATCAGTCATTTCTCAGATTTGTGAATTTGAAATTACAAATCTTAGTTACATATTTAAAATAGCTTATTTACTTTTAATTTCAAGTATCTCATGATCATTTTAGTCACAGCTGGTTTTTTAAACCAGTGGAACAGTAGTATCTTCATTTCTTCCATGAGTGACTCTAAACCAGCCCCACTTTTTGTCAGTTCAGAGAATTTTGAAAGAAAAATATTCCAGTTATGTCTTTGAGTATTAGATTTAGTAGTGCTGAGTCTACATTTTATACTTGGGAACCCAAATCTCCTCTAATGATATAATTCTCAATAATTTGTTCTTGATCTAATAGCAACTTTATACAATTTTGCTGTTTTTCCCACATACCTAGCACTTCTTAAAATGTTTCTTACAATCTTTCCTCAAAGATTTTGATCTTGGTTTAGTGTGACCCTAAGCCAATTCAGCTTTATTCATGCTGCAGTTTCTTATTTTATTTGAAATGATAAAATGGGATCTCACAGTATTGCTTCCAAATTTGGTTTAAAAAGTAATCCTCACCTTATTTTTCTCTAATGCTAACCTTTTGAAGATTGAATTTTCTGGATTTTTCCTTTTTTTCTTTTTTTTTTCTCTGAGATGTAGAATATCCTAAAAAAAAAATCCAAATAAACAAACAAAAAAAACAACTGAAGAATTGCCCAAATACCTAATATGGCTATATCACCATATTCTTGGAAGTGAGCTGCAAGAAAAATAGTCAGCATAGTGACATTTTTTCAAGAATTAGGAGAACCATCAACAGCTTATGAATATACATACTTCATTTGGCAACGTGAGGGTGACCATCATCAGTAAAATGTGTCCCAATAAAGGAGTTTTGACAGAAGGCAGAGCCATAGAAAGAGTGGGTGCAGCAAATGACTGGGAAAATGGTATGTTGTAAAGGAAGCAGGACACTCGGTTATCTTTGAATTGGGGCATCTGAAGTACTTTCTTTTGAGGGTGGTCAAACATTAGAAGAGGTTGCCTGGAGAGACTGTGAAATCGCCCTCCTTGGAGGTGCTCAGTACTTGGCTGATGGGCCCTGAACAGCCTGACCTCCCTGTCCTGGCCCCCAGGCAGGGGCTTGGACTTCCAGAGGTTCCCTGCCACCCAAATGAGATGCGTGATTCTGTGGTTGTCAGCAAGATGGAGATGTACCCTGTGTAGGCAGAGGGAAAATGAAAAGCACGCTTCACTTGTCCTCGTCCTCAGCTGTACGTTACCAAACCACACGGCTGGGAGAGGGTCTGGGCTGCAGTCAGGCAGGGAACACATCACATGTACTGCGGTATCGTCAGACCTCACTGGCTCTGCTGGTGATCCATCCCCAATCTAAACACCAACCCAAAACTTGTCCTTATTATTGGTTTTACTCTTTGTGCAGAGCACTGTAATGTCAGAGCCTAAAAGGGGTAAGCAATGGCTCAAAGGGGCAAAAGCAGGATTAATCAGTAAACTATCTTCATCCTCAATCCTAAGGTTTATATTCAACCTTATTTATGTATTTGACATGGCATGCAAAACTTTGCCACTATTACACCAATTTCTGTTCTGCACAATTCTTAGGGACAGTAGCTCATCAGATAAAAAGCCTCCCTTTTTTGTGCTCTCCCTGGAAAGTGCTAATTTTATTTTGGTGGGGGTTTTTTGTTGGCCTTTTGATAATTATTACTAATCATTGGCGTACTTTAGATACTGGTTCTCCTGCTTGGCCACTTCCCACCTTCTGCCTCTTCCCCCTCCAAATTATCTTCCTTCCTTCCCTTATGGCATGAATGGAAAGTGGCCAGCAAGGGGGAGCTGGGGATCATTAGCAGGAACTGAAATTTCTAAAAGGGATTAATTTAACTGAGTCCATATCTTATGTGAGAGACACTGAAAGGTGAATAGTTGTGCTAGAGTAAAAAGAAATAGTCATATAAGTGTAGTGTGCAGTTATGGACAGAGAGGGGTAAGAGTGATTGAAAATTTATTTCAGTCCAAGGGAGAGCTTTGTAATACTGTTAAAAAAAACTAAAATTCTGCAGAATTTGACTGAAAAATAGTGTTACCAGCATAGTGTATGTATTCATAACTCCCTCTAGTGACAAACTATAGAGACTACCAGAGAGTTCACTTCAGTTCCAGTTGAAGAAATTTGTACTCTTAGAGCAAAAAATGTTTCAGTTGGACTTTACTGAAGTCACTTTTTTAGGCATTCCTTGAATATTGCTTTTTTGTCCTTGTGGTTTTTCGTTTGCTTGTTTTAGGCCTCAGCTGAGTTTAGACACCTGTCTTTGTTTTCCCAAATTCTGACTTGCACAGAGAAATGGTGTTTATGAATGAGATTTGCAGCTGTGATTTCCATAGGTAAATGTTGATTACAGTTATAAGTAAAAGCACAGTCCTCTAAATTAAACTGTCTCAAATTAATGAGTGTAGAGTGGGCACTTTGAAAATGTGGACCTAGTCATGCATATGTGTTATTTATGGAGTTTATATCCGGTGTATATAACTGAAGCAACTGCAACTGAAGGGAAATCCCCCACAAGTCTGTGACTCAATCTCATCTGTTTATTTAGAGAGCAAACATTCTAATAACTTTAAAGGTTTGGGTTTTGTTGGGGTGGAGGGTTTTTTTGAGGTAGTGAATGTCTGTGCACTAATTTTGCTGTTTGACATGGCAGGCCCTTCTGGATGTGTTGAAAAAGCAGCAGTCACCTGTTTTTGGGACTCCTTCAGAGAACGGTGACAGAAACAGCCTTGAGGACATGAGAACCCAACTTGAAGTTCTCAAACAGCAGGTGAGAACAGCTGGAAGGATTTCATACAGCATTATTTTTCCCTCTCTCCCAAGAATAGCACCCAGTAGACTTTGAAAGGAAGAACCAGTTTAGCCACAGCCCATTCAATTGATGTTTCCTAAGATGCTGTCATCACAGCGGTGTCTACGAAGTGAAACTGAGTCCTTGCAAAAGACTGGAGCAAGGACTTGTGTAGGACTTGAAGCAGCAAAATGGTTCTCCTGACTCTTGGAGACCACCCTTCCATCTCTCTGCTAGGGGCTGAATTGCATCCAGAGGGAATGCTAAACTTCATGAGTTACTGATTAATCTGATGATTGTGTCTTCTGCTACTTTTTTCTTAGAAGCTAAAAGTTTAGTGAATTGTCTTACAATAATAGTCTTGGGAAACTAGAGTGTTGGCATTGAAATTTTTCAAAGTGTGAGGCAAAACATTTTGCATCCGTAACCTGCATACAGACACTAGAGAAGTGTATTTATTTTTTTTAAGTTGTGTTCTGAGCAGTTCAAGTGCTTTGTGCACACTTTTTCTTTCCCTGTGAAAGAATCTGTTTAAAACATGATACTTTTCAGATAATTTTACATTTTAGGTCTGTCATCCTGGACAGTGTTAGGGTTAATGTTATTGACACACAAATGGATGTGATCAGAATGGGAATTCTATTCAGTGGGAATAAAATACTTGTTTCTGTCACGTTTGACAGCAGAGCCAGATTTTGCTCTCTAATGTAATGCTTGCCACATGCTGGAGAATAGAATCCAGCACTTGATTGTACAGTAATGAGTTATTTCATTCTACACAATGAAATAGAGTAAACCAATTTTTTTCAGAATTCTCAGGGGTATCCATTTTATGAATGTCTTTTTCTAGTTGTGTGAATCAGTACAGTGAGTCCAGACTTCCCTCTGCACGAAATGGAGCAGAAAGCTCTAACTGTAGTGAGGAGAGACTCTTGGGACAAACAGCAACGTGACAGAGTCTCACCCGAGCTTGGCTGTCATCAGCCTATCCCTGGCCACTGCAGATGAGATGAAGGCATTCATTCCTTGAGAGGTGTCCCCCTCTTTCTCAGGGCAACAGAATGTGAAGCAAAACTGTGACCGAGTGATTCCTTTGCAGCTTCAGCAGATCGTACAGATGGGGAGCAGGGGGAGGTGGGACAGCAGAGAGGGAACCAGGAGAGAAGAAATGAGGAAATACCGAGGAGAGAAGCGTGTAGATGGACAGGGGTACGAGAGACCTAGATTTCTGCAAGCGACAGCTTTGCCTCTGCTTCAGAGGGTCAGGGGCACGCGTGCCTCCTCCAGGCACAGGCTGTGGAGCTGAGTCCCCACACGGCCACACAAAAAGCCTTTGTTCCCTTTACACAGTGTTATTCAGAAAGGGGTTGTATCTAGTGGGGGACTGTCGGGTCCGAAAACAACTTTGCAAAAATTAGCTGCAACAGGCAAGTCATGAAAATAATTTATAGAGCCCTGTGTTGACTTTTTTCTTCCCCGGAGGTATTAACATTTCTTTAGGCCTCCTGTGAAGTCATAGTGCTGCTGCCAGCAAAAAGAGAGCTAGATCTGTATGATGGGCAGGGCGTGAGCCACAGCAAGCAACTTCTTTGGAAATAGACTGTCAATGGGCTTTAGTGACCAACCAAGAGGACACAAAAGGACTTCTGAAAGTTCTGGTGGTGGTTCCCACTCCAACATGCTTTTGCTGTTATTTGTCAGTAGAAGTGCCACCAACCTCCAGCTTCTTACCGGGTGGATGCCTGCCTGTTAGCTGAAGAATTAAGCTGGTCAGCTTAACGCCAATTAATTTAGGGATTTGTGTTTTGCTTCTGAATCCGTGTGCTTGCTGCCTGGGGTGGTCAGATATTTTTTAATGGGATGAAGCACTATGATTCCTGGCAACATAAAAAGAGCTAAGCTGTTGCATCCATTTCAAAGGCAGCTTATCTTCTAGGAACAGGGTGAAGCCTCTGTATTTCCATTTTGAATTGTGTACATAACATTTCCCTCTGCTTATACATTGGGGCAGGTAGGTTCTTTGGACTGCAGTTTGAAAGGATGAATTAGAAGTCCTATATTAGGATTTCTATTTTATCCTAAACTAAAAGGTATGTGGGCTAATTATTTTTTCCACATGCAGTTTCTAACGTCTGGGGCACGATAGCCTCCTACAGGTTTCGTTTTCCACAGTGCTCCAGCCACGATCTAAGTTCCTTGACAGCCCTGACTAGTCCAGGTCTTCTGGTCATTAATACGTGACCACGGTTCTAAATACTGTCACCTGTTCTGCACATGTTAGTCCTTTGGGCCACAGCTTGGTTAGACAGCTAGTGCAGTGGGTAAGGTCAAGCTGCAGACAACTACAAAAAGGTGTAAAGCAAAGCAGGCTCGAGGCCAATGGTATTCAGTGGGCTATAAAAGAACAGAAAATTATTTGAAGATAGTGGCTCATCATTAGGTTGGATAAGGTGATAACATTCTGTCAGACTGCAAGCTAGAAGTCAGTTTTTTGTGCTGTGCTGGCACACCCCGTCTCCACCAGGATGCCAACTGCTTGCATCTAAGATACAGGGAGGAGATAAAAGTGCTTGTAATTGAAGTAAAAACTGGAAAAAATGATGGTAAAATGCTTGTCCTATTACTGTTTATCCCTCAAAAACATCACTGTCTTGAGTATTTGCTATCTTATTTATCATATTTATAACTGATATCCACCAGTCAGCCTTTAATATAACAGTGGCGTACGAATACTGCAGCTGTGGACCGTTTAGATTGATGGGTACCATTGGAGAATTGCCATTGCTTTTCACTTTGGTCATAAAATAGACAAGGGAAATTTTATTTGCCGGATTGGAAAGGGGAGGGATCCTTTTGGAATGCACCTCCCTGGTTGGTCAGTATTTAAAGCAAACAAAGTGGATGAAAATTTCCATTGTGGCTCTGCTGAAATTCACATATTTGGTCGCAATGATTGCAGGTACAAATATATGAAGAAGACTTCAGAAAGGAGAGATCTGACAGAGAAAGACTTAATGAGGAGAAAGAAGCATTGCAGAAAATTAATGAGAGATTACAGTCTCAACTGAATAAACTAAGCTCTCAGGTATGAGTCCAAAGAAATTTACCATTGCCAGCACATGTGTATTTTATTTTTATTTTCTCACTTTCCACACAACCCAAGGCTTTCTGGCTTCCATTAATTGACATTAGGTTTTATACGAGGTCACCACCTGGGATGAAATCATTCTGAAGTAATGCAGTAAGAATATGAGAAATGATTAGTGATTACTTCCAAATTAAGTAGATGAAGGGAGTATTTATTGCAAAAGTTCTTCAAACATCTTAAAATGGAGAGGGAGGGGGAACCAAAAACAAATCCAGAGGACTTGTGATTGTTTCACTGGCACTTGATACAAGAGTTGTAACATCAAACCAACTTTTGAAATAAAAGCTTCTGTAGTGAATCCTGACCTCTGTAGTGGATTTGCAGAGTAATGGTAATATCATTGGGAAAAAAAAAGTCTCCATCCAAATTAGCCAAGCAGCCACTGCACTAATTTTTAATTGCAACATCCTTTTTATCTCTTCAGAGCAGTGTCAGTATTCTTTTCACAGACATTCAGGAAGCCATAGTAAAATCATGGCATGCAAAACTCTGAGCTTTCTCAATCCCCTTTAAAAATAATGAAATTTCGAGGTTTCCTGTCTTGACAAAATTGTGCAATGTTTTAAAAGAATGGCCGATTAGCAAAATGTTCTTTGATGATTTATTGTCTTCCCCAACATTGTTGCGAAACAGAAACTTCAGTATTGGCTTATTCTCAAACAAGCCATGCACCAATACTAGTAGGGTCTTGCAACAGTGTCAGAGGCAAGGTGCTGGCAAGTCCCCTTTACTCCCATCGGCTTCAATGGGAGTGGAGAGCGGGTTGGGCATCCTGGGCACTGGTGCAGTAAGGGTGCAGACTAGTCAGTGCCTTTAGGGGCACTTGGAAGACTTCCATGCAAGTGTAAAAATAGCCCTGCCGGAGGGAATGCCACGATTTGCCACTTAAGGCATCCCAGGCATATAGACATACCTTGGACAAATCTGTTAGCATTGCATGCAATAACCTTCAGGTCTATTTCCCTCACCCACCAGCCCACTCCTGGGTGGTTCAATAAGGTAAAGAACTTTTTTTTGGTAGGAGACAGAGTACTCAGATACCGTCTTCCTATATGTTTCTGCATTTCCTGGAGACTGCAAAAGACTAAATTTCTTGCACAACCCCAACTGGTCAATGGATGCTGTGAGGACCTCTCACAGCAGTAACAGTGAAGAGGGGGACTACAAATATGGCTAAAAGGCCTTTCCCACTCCTCCCCATCGACTCTGGACCAGGAGAAATGCTAACAGCACTGCATGGGTACAATGTACCCGAAGGGGTGTACAAATGCTGTGTAATGTGTATGTATACCTTGACTGTCCCTGTATTGCATTGACAGTTTACACTGGAGATCTTCTTGTTTATCTCTTCCTGCCTTGGGATTTGATTAAACAGAACTTGTGAAAGATTTTAAGCATGAGAAGAACCATATAGAATATTTATAAGTTTTCTTAAGTCCAATTACTTAGTTGCGACTCATCTTTTACTCCTTCTTGCTCTGTCCTTAGGCAAATTCCCCTTGACTCTGCTGGGACAAGGGCCTAAGAGAAGGCAGACCCAAGTATTGAGGCCATCGAATTTCCTCCTTTACCAAAATAATTTCTTTTTCTTGTTATGCAAGTGCCTGTAGTCCTGCTTCAAGCTATTGAAAGCTACTGTGTGTAATGAAAATATTTCTTGAATATAGAGAACACCCGGAAATACGATTACCATATCTTGAAAGCAATATTTTCTCACATAAAACGTGTCAGGACTCTGGTGTGGCACAATTCAGCTTTCTTAAATATTTTTTTTTAATCATGAACAGTCTGATGGGTTTAAGCGAGCAGCATTGTGACCCATGCTGAGAGGGAAGGGTTTCTTCACTGCTGCTTTTTACTGATGAATTTGTACGTGAGTATTCTCTTGGTCATTGTATCCTGCTACTAATGCATTTCTTCTTGATTTTCTTATTTTTTTTACAGACAAAAGACCTCTCAGTACAGTCTGAGAGGCCCAGCTACCCACCTCCCCTCTTCCTCTCACCATGTGTTGGGAGTTGTGGGTTGGTTCTTCACTATCCAGATCCTCGACTACATCCAGCGCCTCGCAGGGCACTTGAGCAGCAACAGCGACTCAGCAACTCGGTAAGGTTGCCACTGTCCTCCGTTTCACAAGGGCACTGATTTTCTCACAGCATGGTGACCACAGGAATATGACGTGGTGCTATCATGGTGCCATCCCCACCAGTAATTAAATCTGTTGTTTACCAGTTTATTGTCAGTTCCAGACCAAGATTTTGTACTGCTTTTAGAATTAGCCCTAGGTCTGGAACAGCCTTGGTGATGTCTGTATGGTCTGTCTTCCTTTTCTACCTGTCCCAAAATGCTAATTTTTCTCTTGATAGTTGTGTTCTTTTCTTCTTTGCTGTTCCAATGTCTTTGGTACTGAATTGCTTAGAGTGCTCCAATGTACAAATCAAAGCATAACCAACAGAAATGTGTGCACAGAGAGGAAAATTCACAGCAATTTAAATATATAGTTGATGACTGATACTTTAAGTATATATTTTTATATTTTTTAAATTTACTTTGGCAAATATTATTTAGCTCTAATACCACTAAGAAGAAAAAGAGAAGTATTATACATTTGCTTTCAATGACTGGTGGTCTTTCCTTAGTTAAAAAAAATAAGTTTGTTTGATTGGACTCTTGCTGATTTCTTAGGTCAATTTACTCCACGGCACACATTCAGAGCCCTTTCTGTCTATATAGTTACTCAAATTCATAAATATGATCTGCTTTCTGGAGATTGTCTCCAGAAAGTTCTGGGCCTTCAGCATGATTGATAGGGACAAAAATGAGAACGTAGCTGTGGTCAGCATCATTCTAGTCTCTTCTCTCTACTCAGTCAAAGAAGGCTTGTTTACTAATATGCCTTATTTCCATGTCTTACACTGGGTATTTCTTTCTCTGGCCCTGTCTTTAGAAAATGACCATCTTCTTCATTTATGGCTTCTGCATTCATAGGTAATACAACTGTCCTGCTGTCAGGCAATATTGCTGTAGCCAGACTGCACAATGCCAGGTTCCCTGTATGTTTCCAAGGGCAGGCAGACAAGCTACCGGGAGGATTCATAATGATGCTATTAAATTGTAAGGGCAAAATCCCAGATGCTGTTGCTTGTACTCAGTAGTATCTTCCCTCTGGTGCCCTGCTGTGAAATGGAATTATGTGAGGAATAAGTCTCTACTGAGGGTGGGACGCTCTGGCTGTGAACGCTTTAGGAATGTAATTTTCCTAAGCAAGCCTGTGTATTGCAAAAAAATAAGATAATAAAAAAAAAATAAATTAGCAGAAGTGGAAGTTAGAGTGTGACTAACACAATGGGAATTTTTCCTTTTTTTTTCCGGCACACAACAGGGTCCTGTCTTCCTCAGCACGAGGAAGAATAGCTTTGCACTGGGGCAGGTCATGTAAGAGGGAGTTACCTATTTCAAGGAAAACACTGCTTCAAAGAATTATATTTTTGAAGTGCTTTGGGTTATCAAAGTGGGCTGTGCTTGTTCAAATTTAGTGAGAATGCATTTAAACATGGTGAATGTAATTTTAAATACATAATATCTGTTTCTGGCTATAAAGCTGTCAACTATGGGAAGGTGCTCATTATTTGAGAAACTATAGCTGAATTTTTGCAAATCACATGTAAGGCTTTCGGACTGTAGAAATCCAAGGGAAAAGCTGTGGTCAAACAAGTAATTTCTATGCTTCAGGAGTGTGCTTATCTGCCTATTTATCAGAGTTGGAAGTATTGCAGAATGTTTTTCACTGCAATTTGGACACTGTCCCAGATTATTTTGGCTCCTCTCCCTGAACTTTCATCATCTGGGTTTCTAATTCTGCGAGGGATCACTGGGTTTACAACTTTGCCATTCCTGCCGGAACGCCGGGGTCAGTTTGACTGGTTGCTTTGTAACTCCCAATTTCATTCTGAGTTTTCTTTGAAATTCTTTGTCTGTGTGAGTGCAGCATTGCTGCTCTGAGCTTTTGATACCTCCCCGAGCAATTTGTTAGCAATGAAGAAAGGTGTTAGAATTTAATGAGTGTCCTGAGTTAACATACGTAATCCTCTGTGTTTAGTTTGTGCTTTCTCATTCTTTTTATATCTTGCACCTTTTCATTCCTTTTTACATTTTTAGTAGAAACATTTTGTTTAGTCTGACATGAAATACCTCTTGTTTCTGAAATTCATTCAAGTTTGCATAGTGTATGTATGAAAGAGGAGATCAGAGAACAGAAAATTCAAGAGAAACTGAAAAAAGCAATGCAAATAAGTATATTTTGAGCCATCTGTAGAAAAGCTACCTGTGCTTAAAGCAGAGTCTTGCTTTGTATCAAAGCCTATTTTGTTTGCATACAAGCACAGAATTAGCTGATTCCTGTGGATGGTATAATTTAAGTGAAAATAAGAGCTCCTTTTTCCTGACAGTATATGAGCGTGATTACTAGGAATGACAGCCTACATAAAAGTTAAATCTGCTCTCTGTATCTACAGCTTCATCCTTCCATCTTAGTTTAGGCAAAACTTTAGAAGTCAATGAAATTTCATCCCTACAAGTTGAAATCTGTTAGAGTCTCCTTGGGACTACTCAGGATTTTGTCAGAGTAATTTCTGCAAAACAAGAATTATTTTTTCAGTTTAACTAATTTGAAGCAGTAATTACCTGGAATTCTACAAGCTTGCATGTATTACTTAAACCAGCTAGACTGCTTAATACAACTTCAACTGAAATGTCTGGTCCCAAAACTGTTTTCCCTGGTGGTAATTTACTACTCATTTACCATGGTGTGTGGTATAAAACATTAGGCAGTATTTCTTTCTTCCAGGATTTCCCTGGACAAAACTATGTTTGTGCAGGCATAACCTTCCCAATACTTCCTCTTATAAGAAAGATGGGAATTTTTCCCATCCCACAGTATTTTCAAGAAGTTATTTGATAATAGCTAAAGTTACAGTAACGCTAACGGTAACCTGATGGGAAGGGAGGAGGAGAGAACTTTATTAAATGGGTTATTCCTGCCACATTGGAACATATTACATGTGTTACACACGTTCAAACTGGAACAGCTTCACCTGCCAGGTCAATGCGTACCAGGTTTCTCTGGGGGCTTTTTTACTACAGAGGATGTGATGCCTGCTAGTATCTTCTGGTGCGCTTTATTTCTTAGCCCTTTTAAAATCTGATTTGTTTCTGTTAATGTTTCTTTTGATTTGTGGGATCTAGAAAGGCTTACACCAGTATTTCTAATGAGTGCAGCATCTAAACCATATGTAATAAAAAAGGAAGCAAGCTGAAAGACTCAATCAGTGGAAATATAAAGCTTAATGTAAGATTTTTTTTTGCAAACAACTTTTGTATGACTAATAAAAAACTTCATAGCACAATTATATTTTTATCATGTCACTATTCTTTTGTTTGAAGTGTCTATGAAGTCCATATTGCTGTAATAATGTTTTATTGTTCTGTGCAGCCAGACTATCAGTGGTATGTTCCTGACCAGTTTCCGCCAGATGTGCAGCACAAGGCAAATGGTAAGACAACAGCTGTACAGACCGTACTTTAAGTGTACTTTTTTTAAATGAGGGCCTTTGAGGGATATAGAGTAAATGTTCCTATTTATCTCTTGAGTGCTTATGTGACGGCTTTACCTCAGAGAGCGGAGATTGGTGTATGTGCAACACAGGTGAGGTTTCTAGTGTAATACCATCTACATTACAGCTTTCAGCTTCATTGCAATTCATAAAACGTCTCTATTGCACGTTATAGGATCACACATTTGCCTCATTAAACACCTAGTAATAGTCCTAAAGAAAATATATCCTCACCGTTGTCCTTAGAGCTTCTGTTCCTCCAGCTAAGACTAAATTTAATGATGTGCCAAACCTGGGGGCCAAGATGGGGCAGATTTTAGAAGCCCTTGGTAACAAAGTATAGGCTTTAGGGATGTTGTTTCACCGTAAAGGCAAAATTTCCTTTTCTATTCTTGATCTGCTCTGACAGCTCAAGGTGCCAGATCTGAAAATAGAACTATGTAAATGGACAAAGTTAATTAGTTGCCGAGTGTCAGTGCAAACTCTCTTTTGGAAACCAGGAGAAGTATTCAATACTTGTATCTAGATCTGAAATCGTACCAAGTTCCTGGGTGATTTGAAGTACTTGTTTCAGATCACTCAAAAGATGGATGCCCAAGAGCAGAAAGAAGGAGGGACATTGTTCTGGGTGAGGATTTGCCCCTCCAGATCTCCTTCAGAAACTCCCCAAAACAACCCCTTTTTTCTTCAGTGGTTGAGAATTATAGAATCATAGAATTGTTTTGGTTGCAAGAGATATTTGAGATCATCAAGTCCAACTGTTAGGCTAACACTGCTAAGTTACCACTAAACCGTGTCCCTCAGCACCATATCTGCATGGCTTTTAAATACCTCCAGGGATGGTGACTCAACCAATTCCCTGGGCAGCCTGTTCCAATGCTTGACAACCCTTTCAGTCAAGAAATTTTTCCTAATATCTAATATAAACCTCCCCTGCCTCTTGTCCTATCACTTGTTACTTGTAAGAAGAGACCAGCCCCCACCTCGCTACACCCTCCTTTCAGGTAGCTGTAGAGAGCGATAAGGTCTCCTCTCAGTCTCCTTTTCTCCAGGCTGAACAACCCCAGTTTCCTCAGCTGCTGCTTGTAAGACTTTTGCTGTAGACCAGACCCCTCACCAGCTTTATTGCCCTCCTCTGGCACCTAAAGTTTTGTGTTTTGCTCTGTTCTCCTGTCCCATGGCCCTTTTGCAGAGATACCACCTCAGATGAGTGATACATCATCCCGTGCTGTGCAAGGGGACCAGCAAAGTTTGCTGGCGTGCACTGCAGGAGAGGGTGTGTGCTTTGTGTCTCTGGTGTGGCAAGTGGGTACCATATGGGGTGGCAGGGACTCGCCACTAAAAGCTATTTTGTAACATCTAGAAGAAGAAGAAGATGGCTACAGAGGAACTCTTCTGTTATTTATTGTCCTCCACATTTGCACAGAAGGGAGGGTAGGGTGGGAATGTAGCTTGATGAAATGGAGGATGAGCTTCCCATAATTACATGGCAACTGTGTGGAGGGTTCTGATGTGGTCATAGGGAAAGTAGTGCTGTGACTGCAAGAGAGGACAGGAGATTAAATTTTTAGTTCCTCCCACTTAAACTCAGAGTAATTTACTGCACCAGAGAATACAGGGAGGATGTTTATAACAGTGAATGAAACAAGCCCGGCCACCAACTGCAGCTGTGGTCCAGGGCAGTACACTTAGGGGATCTGAAGAGAGAGAGTTCTTCTTTCACTCTGTTTGATTATATGATTTGAATTCTGGCTCCATGAATTTTTTTGTTTTAAATCCATTCTCTAGTTTCTGTTACTGTTCCTTGTTCAAAACATCCAAATACCTCTTTCTCAATGGGACAGTGAGTAGGACACTTGGATTCTTTTCCCTTCCCCTTTTCCTTCAGTCCCCATAAAGAGGAATTCTCAACAAATCTCATTATAATGCTGTGTAGGATGTTGGCTTTAACATCTTTGGGGCTCTTATTCTTTTTATCTTTGTTGATAAAACAAAGATTGTTTTTTTAGCCATTGATCACAGAAGTCCAGCTTCTACTATCAATTCAAAGGCACCAGCCTGGGTTTGTGTGTTATATATAGCCACCTGTAATCTTAAATCACCTTAAATCTGCATTTAAGTAAATTGTTTTGAGAAAGGTTTGAATGATAGGAACTCCAAGAGTACATGATGAAAATATTCTTGATGTCCCAGTTTCTTTGTTCTGTTTCATATGAGTGCTAATTATGATGGGGAGTTTAAATGAGCTAGTATGTGTAGCAGCATTCCTAAGTCTCATTTCTCATCTTCCGTTTTCTCATTATGTGATAAACTGACCAATAAATCTTATCTCTTCTGAGATAGGGCTTCATTATAGAAAAACAAAACAGCAGTGCAGCGACTTTTAGGCATGAGGCAGTTTCCTTTAAGAATGCTATTTCAGTAGACTGATGTTTCTAGGGAAAAACCTTAAGTTTTCCTTAACGGAACAATTTTTCCTTGGACACTGGGTACTTTTTCTGGAGGAATAATCACAAAAAACAGGTCACAGGCTGTAACTTTAGAGCTGAGCACTGGTGAAATGAATCGGGAAATGGATATTTTTTTATAATATACCATCAAAAAAAGCCTGCTTTAAAGATACCTGGAATCTATGAGATTCTACATCAATTCTAACTAGTTTTCTATAATATCATCGGGATTGCAAAGGCATATTGTCACCATAGAGGAATTATTAATTTTTTTTTGCAGTTTTGTACAGATGCACCTAGACTGTATTTCTTGTCTCTCTCCCTCCCCTTCTTTGTGAGGGAGCACTCGGGTACTTTGGCATTTGACTGAGGTTCTGCAGGTTTTTCTGTAACCAGCAATAGTCTCGTATTCTGTTTCTCATGTAACCGTATCTGTACTTTTCTTCTGACTGGAACCACTTTTCTTTGCTGCTCTCCTGTTCAAAGAAGGCTTTTTTAAAATATGTTTGCCTCCATGAATCTCAGCTTGTCTTTCTGTTTTCTGTAAGACACACCTCTTTTCCTGTATCTATAGAAATAAGATAATCGCTGAAATAGTTTTAATTTTTTTTTTTTAAGTCTGTTACAGAGATTTGGTTTTAATTTTTTTTTTTAAGTCTGTTACAGAGATTTGATAAATCCTATTTGATCCTATTTCCCAACATTTCTACTCCAGTCTGTTATTTTCCCCACAGATCTGTTTTGGTTGTTGACAGAGGATCACTTATGCACAAGTTTGAGGAGCGATGTTGCCTCCAGCACTGAACTTTCACAGTAGTGTGATGGTTAGGATCTGGCACTTTTTTATTTGAGTCCTTTCTAATTAGCCTGCAAATAACTTCATCAGAATACAGGAAGGATGAGGGCAATAGGGGGCAAAATGAGACACACACATAAACACACACAGCCCCCAAAACTCTGTTCTTTTTTCCATTAAGCCTTTCTTTCCAAAATGAGAATGAACAAGAGATGTTCCACAGTAGCAAGACAATGTTAATTATCTAAATGAAACCCTTGCAATTTAGCTTTATGAAGAGAGTGAAGGTAATGGGAGTTGCTAGGATTACAGCTATGAAGTATGGCTTTATGCAAAAAACCTTATGTATCTGCTAAGAGTTTGGAGTAGTGAACACTCCAGAGAGAGTACTGAATCAGGGCTCTGTCAGCTCCTTCTTTCCCAAGAAATTTGTCAGTTGAGTGACAAATGTGCTGAGCAGTCCTCCGTTCTTTGACTATAACATCTCAGAGCTACCCTGTGTTTCTTGTTGGTGAACTAATCTGTGCCTCTGTTTCTTGCAGCTAGACTATCTACGGGAATTTTAAGGATTTAATCCTACTGAAAAGAGCATAAGGAGTTAGTTTTAATGATCTACCTCTGTTTTACAGCTAAGTATCTGTCAGCCACTTAAGAACCTGGATAAAGAGAAGGGTTTGTAGCCCTTGTGGTATATAAGGCTGAAGTTGTTCTGTAGAGAGAGACAGTTATTCCCAGAGTTGTCACAGGCTGGCTGCTGTGACTTGAGAGACCAGTCCTCAGCCTTGAAATCACATCAGCGTGCCCTTGAACACAGAGTTCAGAGCATGATGCAACAGTGTGCTCGGGTGTCTCATCCCTGCCTTGGTTCATGTAGGGCATGGAAATGTGATGGTAGGAGTGTCTGTGTATGAATATGTGGAGATGACCAAACACAACTAGCAATCCTGGTATGCGTGTTTGATTACATTTACTTAACATTTTTCCCTCTCTGTATGCTGAGATAAGTAAAATAAGAACTACTGGCTGTGTGTAGACATTCTGGGGTCCGGGAAGGGATTCTGTGGATCAGACTTGGCCTTTCTTTACCTTTTTGATTCAGTAATCAAGATTTAAATTATTTTATGAATTTATTATTGTTATTATTTGTTCACAGTTGCCCACAGTTATTGTTGAATTGCCTTCTTTGACTAGAAGTTAATGATCCTCCTGGCTGCTTTATACAGACCACTCAACTTCTTTTTAAAAACATGTCTCTGACTTTAGGGAGTTGACTTAAAAGTTAACAAAGAACCATTGAGGCCTTTCTGGCTTTGGAACCCTAGAAAAGTGGGCTTCATAGGTTAAAAACCACAGCCTCTCCATTGGGAAGCATGGAAACAACTTTGACCTGCCAGGGGACAGTGAAAAAATACTAACAATGTAATATATAATTTTCCAAAATGGATGGGAAAAAATGTCTGTCCTTGATGATGTGTTTAGTGAGTTGATGTATTCCATGCCCTTTGCCATTCACAGTGTAACAGATAATAAAGGCCTGCCCAGGGTTTGGGGTGACTTTCATGCCAGACTGCACTGCAGGATGCAGTTGCCTGTCATCTGTATGTCTGCATGGTCACAGGAAGGTGAGGGTTTAAACTGGTTCCTCTCCCCCCGCTCTTTCATGCTGTAGTGTCGTCAAGAGTTCAGTTTTCCGTGCCACCACTGGGATCCAAGCTGAATCCAGAAGTATTCAAAAGGCGGTTTGCAAATAGGAGGATGTGGGCTTCATTCAGATTTATTGGCCTGATTTTACTAGCATTTTCTTCCCATTTGTATCCAGAAAGTTTCATGTTGCACCTCTTGTTAAATTGCTTAAAAACTCAGACAACTCATACCACAGTTCAACTTGTCTGTGAATATAAATATTTCTTCTCCATATCTTCCCAAACATGAAATACTTTGGCTGAGAGCAGGCAGGGTGAAAAGATGGATAGGAACATTGTGTGTCTAGCCATGCTCCGTAGGTGGGCTGCCATGGAGATCAAGCTGCCAGGTGAAGACCACTCAGGTAGTCCTCACAGGACAACCACCTGTCTGCAAAGTAGGCTTAGGGAATATTGTCAGTCTTCCAAAAAAGCAAACGTGTTTCCTTGAGGGTCAAAATAAAGAGGAAAGGGCAGTGTGAAAAGGTGAACGATGGGAGGCAGGTAGAGATTAAGGAAGAAGTTGATGAGATGTTGTCTCACTGCATCAGCAATGTGTTTCCAAGAGAATATCTCTTCCTGCTCGCCTTTGGGCTGCTCCCTCCCCAGGTACTTTGCTGTGCTGAAAACCTGCTCCTAAACTGTGCTTAAATTATTCCAGTTTAGCCTTGTTCAACCAGCAACGCTGCCTTTGGAGGGACATTAACTCCTAAGTTTCTCTGTGCTCTGTCACTCAGTGTTGCAGGAACTGGTGTCCAATCTTTTTGTTCTTAGTTGTGGCTTTTTGGGGGTTTTTTGGTTGAAGTTTGTTTTTTCCCCCTTTTTAAGGAGAAAGGCAGAAAGATTTCCAGCAAGTGTACTTAATGTCACTTTATTTGGCAAGCAGTGTTGAATTCCTTATCCAACTGTGCAAAATTGAAAAGACAGTTGAAAAAAAAGATTGATTTTGGAGATTTTCCCTGAACCCAATTTTTTAATGAAAAATTCTCTGGAAAAGAGGTTTATTGCTCAAAGCCTGCTCAGAGAAAGAACCCTTTTGCATGCCGCAACTGCTGGCATGTATTGCATCTTTCACTTCCAAATTAATCTTACTGTATTTGTTTTCTTGGGAGAAAGAGTCTCAGTTACATATATTTAAGAACCCCCATTACCCCTTCAGAACATCAGTTATAACTACCAGATTTCTTTGACCTAAACTGTACATTTTTATTTTGGATCCAGTTATGATGCCAGGCACAGAGAGAACCCAAAATGTAGCCCTTCTCCTACCTCTCAGTTCAAGCTCTGGTGGCTTGTGGGAGAGGCAAGAGGAGCCTCTCACCGCCTTGGCTTTGCACGTCTCGGGAAAGCAGAAACCAACCTGCAAAGCCCTAGGGATCCCCAGATGAGCACGTGAAGAACCATGATGTGTCCGCTTCCTTTCATTATAGTATCATCTCTTGTTCCCTTCCACACTCTGCTGCTTTCCAGATTTTTGCCCTCCGGGTACCTACTTTGCTGGTAATGTTATTATAATTACAGCTATTTGGAAGAAGAGAGGGAGAAGTGTGCGGTTTTCCACTGAAAATAGCGATATCTGTGGGGGAAAGAGGGGGGAATGAAAAACCGAAAATTGGATTTGTGGAGGTCTTCAATGAAAACCAGACAGAAAAAAAGTCAATTAACAGACATCTTAATTTTCCTGGAAAAAATCCCAGACCCTAAACATTTTTGGTATTAGCCTGTCTTCAGTGCATACTTTACATTAGAAATTATCAGTGCTCCCAACTAGTCAAACAGATTTAATTAGCAGTTTGCCATCCCCATTGGAATGAAAATGTGATTATTTTCAGGATTTTTACTGATACAACTTGATTTCTGCTACTGCAATGTAACAAAAAGGCCATTAGTGCACCTTTCATTTCTAACTCCGGAAGGTGAGAAGTTGCCTCTTTCAGAAGTCAGCTTGAGCTAAAGATCATGTTGCAGTTTTTCAGAGTACCAGGCAGAAAGGTCTCATGTGAAGAGCAACAGGATATGTAATTTAAATAGCTGCATTATTTGATAAAGTTATTTCTATGAAATAATGTTTCAGGGTTAAATTTTAAATGGCATCACACACACTGGCATTTTTTTTTTTTTTTTTTTTCCTTTGAGGATGAAACATAGGGAAGAATCCAGGCATTTAAGGGAACTTGGCTGATGGGGGATGTTGATGGTGGTCTTTTGGTGATAGGTGATGTGGTGGTGGCTTTTTTTTTTTTTTTTGAATCATTCTCTTTCCTGATGACTCAATGAAGCATGCCTCTGCTGCCTGGAAATATCTTTAGTTCCTCATTGATCATCTAAGGAAGCAATGTAAAAATTAATTCTGTGCCATTTGCTTATTAAAGTAGCAGCCAAGTGCTGCCTACCCTTGTTATATTGGTGTCCACCTTCCTTTGACCTGTTGTATGCGTTTTAAGTGTGTTAGTACTCTCTGCTGGTCTCTGAAGCCTGCTCGTACTGCGAAATAGCCAGAATGTTTTCTGAATGGTTAGTGCCATCCTAGGTGAGCCACACTCTTTGTTTTTGGGAACTTCGTGTTATATCATGTTTGCCCTACCTCTCTGGTAGACCATGTCCACGGTGCTGTGGTATCTGCTGGTTTGCATGAGCTGGGCAAGAACTTTAGAAGCCAAAAGCATCTTGGCATAAGCAGGGTGACTTTAGTGTGTCCCTGTGGGACTTGAGACTGGGAAGGAACAAAAATAATTGAAGGGTATCCCCACTGTATAGCTGCCTGAGATGTTTGATATCCAAGTCCTCTCTTTTTTTTTTTTTTTCTTTCCGCCACATATTGTTCTATGAATACCACCATTTTATGTGAAGCTTGGAAGCATATTTCTTGTTAGAAAAGTTTTGTTCTCCTCTCTTAGGTGTTACAGGGGTCTATTTACATGAAATGAAATGGACTCACAAATACCTATATCTGTCTATCTTGCATGAACAACTAGTCTCCTAATTGCTTCTCTTCCTGGTTTTGTGAACAAATAACATGAATTTTAGCTCTGATACCTGCAAGAAAAAGATGTCACCAAAATTGATGATTCATGGTACCCCCACTTGCTACAAACGTGAACCTTTTGGATCAAGTTTTCTTTCATATACATTTGGATACCATAAGTACTGTGGGTTTGGAAGTGAATGATGGGGTTACTGCTGAGCAGCTGCAGAGCAATTCTCTGAGGCAAATTCAAAACCTTGCTGGAAATACTTCACTCTTAATGTTTCTCTTGTAAGCAAAATACTGTGTGCACTTGTGTGTGCTACTAGCGATGTGTTACAGCATTTCCAGAATCTTTTGAAACTTCAGGAAGGAAGTTTGTGTTACATCAGCAATAATATATTTCTTTTCTTAGATTTTATTTTGTTTTCCTAGCTTGAGTGAGTTACTATCAAACACATCTTTGAACCACAGACACCTACTTAGCTGTAGGTACTACTACCTAATTCTTCCCTCTGTCACACTTATCTACTCCCTTGGGTGCACCTAATGCTAATGTATACCTATGAGCACTGCTCAATGTAAGCTTTTCTTACATTGGAAGAAACAGACACAGGTCTAGAAAGATTTTACATAGGGGCTTTAGGTCATTAGACCCTACTGTTTGCTCTGTATCAACAACTGGGACTAGATGAAAGTTGCCAGAGAGTACTAGTGCACTGTATGATATCCATGCCCTCTTTTGCTTCTCCACACTTACTGCCATTTGTATTGGAGTGATTACAGACTTGTAAGGATGCACAGTATTGGCTCTGGGGATATGTGTGTGTGTTACAAAATAGGGGGAAATTAACAATAAGCGAGTTGTATTTCTCAATGTCAAAATAATTTGTATTGATTTACTTTTGCAGATTCATCCTCGGAGGAGGGAGCCCATCGCTGACAGCCTATGACCTGGAGAAGGGTAGACCAAAGGCTGCAAGCTACTCTTGTAACTTTAGTATTCTGTTTTGCTCTGTTTTGTTGGGGTTTTTTTTGCCCCTAGCTCCTTATCTCTTGAGTGCATGTTATTTATGCCTGGTGAAATCCCTGCGAAGACAATAGAAAAGCAGATCATACAGGCTAGTGATCCTCAGGATCCAGTTAAACTCTGCTGGGAAGCGTTATTGCCCTTTGTTCTGAAGATGCTGTTTGTGCTGCCTATGAGAATCTGTTAAAAAGCCTTGTGAGAAAAGATGCAGCTATTGAGAGACAGTCGCATCTGGTTTGAATTCAAGAGCTTATAAGCTCAATACTGGTGTGATATTCTTTGTTTTGTTTGAGAATTATAGTCTCTTTTATTTGATTCCAGGGAATGATTTGTTGATATATCATCTTGAATTCTGTACTCTTTCTTGGTTGTTTGGTAAAAAGGAAATCTGCTTCACAGTTTTAACATGTTTGTGTAATTTCAGGGAGGGTACTGCTGATGCCAGGCCAGGTAGAATGTGCCTACTCCCCTTTTTGAGTCAAGGCCAATTCTCCTTTTGCTTTGACTCCAAAGTTATAAGAAAACTAATCACAGGGTTGGTTTTTTTTTTTTTTCTGTGTGTACTTTTTTGTATCAGAAGAATTTTAGTTGAAAGGTTTGATGGTTGTAACTTCTCAGCGCAAATGGCTTTATATTTCCAAATTATTCTTGTACTGAATCTGAACATCGTTGTGTAAGCTCTAACCTGAGAATAAAACCTGGCTCTTTAAATTAAAATGTATTTACACTATGGAATTTTTCGGAATATTGTGATGAATGGATGTTCAGCAAACATCACCTGATAATCTACTTCTAAGATTGTTGCTTCCCTTCAGGCAGGTACCTGGATCTGTTGGGATCCCGCCCGAAAGAAGGAACTGAGATTTTGCACCATAAGGCCACATGGGATATCCTGTGTGCTTTCCTTACGGTTCAGAAATACTTAATGAGTTTAAGCTCCCACACAAACAGCTTGTTGAGCTGTACAAAGACAGAGTCATCAGTTAGAGATCGCCTCTGTGTGTCATTTCTGCTGTTAGAACAGGTATTTCCATTCCCATCCATTTACAAAGGCCTTTGCATTAAAATAATAACCTTACAGGATTCAACATGTTCAGCATTTGATTTTGGACACAATGGGGAACAATCCATGGGAAAGGATTTTTCTGTTGTTACCTTTTACAGTGATGCTGCTTTTGCCCACACTGATTAACGAAGCGACTCTCCTTACTTATAATACAGGCTCAGGAAGAACACAAGAAAAGCAGTGAGTGAACCGGCCTCCGGAGAGAAACTGCTTTCTCATGAACTATTGGAAATTAGAGTTTGACTGCGACATCAATGACAGAATAAACTCCTAAGTCTCTATTAGAGAGATAGGAGTTTTCATCTCTGCATGTATTTGGAGCTGACTTGCATACACTACGGCAGCAGACAGTTTAACCAGCAAACAATATAACCGCGCTACTCCTGATTAGTGATTTGGCTAATAAGGGTGAGATCATGGAAAATGCTAATGCGGTGCCTTCGGAAAATCCAATTATAATGTAACCTAATTCAATGGGAGCTCTCAGCAGGTGACCAGAGCTGTGGGCAGAGCACCCCACACGCAAAGCTGTCGTGAATCCTCAAAACAGACGAGCTTCTGTGTGCTTGGTGTGGGAGGCAACAAACCCCTGTTTCATTCGTTTCCACTGTTTTCCCCAAACTAACCCCGAAGGTTTGCACCCTCCATTTGTGGTGCTTAACTCATTTTCTGACAGCTTGTGCAAGCTTTAGCTGGCCCAAGCGGATGATTCAACGTGAGCCATTCACAGTAAGAAAATAGACTTTTCAGGGCTATCTTTTTTCCACTCCCCTCCTCTGTTTAGTCACAGGCTTTTAATGTTTGGCTGGTTTGGGCACAAGACTGTAAACCTTGACTCACGGAGATCCTAATTATGCTAAGTGGGGGGTATTACATAATAGACAATTTGTATCTTTGAAAATGCATATAAAATGCTTGTACAGTTGATTTTTCCTCTTGATTTTCTTATAATGATGTATGTTTCCCAATTGCAGGTGCTGTCATCTATTTGAATTAGCATTTTCAGACTCAAACACCCTCAAAGGATACGCTTTCTGCAGGGACCCAGACAACTTGGAGGGAGTGTTATTTGAGTTAAAATTAACCATAATACTCATAACAGGCATTTTTCCTTCCTCAGGCTTTGCTGAAACTGGGTATCAGCACTCCCAGTTCTTCCTCTAGCCTTTTAAAGAACCTTCTGGCATTTCCCAATTTTTGTTACATATTTTGTTTTCCAAACATCTGCCAAATTTTCCATCTGATCCTGTCTATTCAGCTTTCTCTGATATTTTTTTTGTCTCAGTGGCAAGTGAATCAATTTCATAGTGAGGGCTAATGTGCAAAAGGCCTTTTCTTTTTTTTAATTCCCTTTCTTGTAGGAACTGCTCAGGGTTTGGGAATATTGGAATTACTGTGCACATTGCAAGAGGAGCAATTAATACACAGAGAGCAATTTTCTTTTCATACTGGACCAGGTAGTTATTTGAATACCCGAGCCTGTAACTGCAGTAATGAGCTGCACCCATAGCTTGTGCTGCACGATTTCCTCTCTCGCTGTGGCTTGGGAAAACTAAGATAAGCATAAAGTGATTTTCTGTCAAAACTTTTCAGCAGTTTAAGGAGATGTTTTCACTTGTCCAGCAGAACAACCAACGAACGCGTCCTGCGTCGATGCTGGCCAGCCTGCCCACCAGGCGAGATGCAGCGGGAGCGCTTGACTCCTGTGTGACCAACTCAACTGCCACATTAAAAATGCTTACTAGGTGATGAACATTTAGCTCTACGGTAAGGAAATAACCCATAATTCATACTCAGTGTATGCTGACCATAATGATTATCCAATGTTTTAAAATGACGTGGTGGGTGTCCAGGCCTTGGTCATGATCAGCTCTTGGAAAACCTTGATACTTCTGGTGGGATCATGCATGTCAACCTGTACTTGTACAGATTCTGAATGGTGAGTTATAACATCTGATAGAAACATGAAATTTTATTAAATAACATATTCTAGAGAACATTTTATGTATGTTTTGGCATGGGTTTCTGTAGACTTTTCTTCTAAACTGAAATTCTATTTGGTTGCAGTACTATGTACTGAATACGTGCAGAAATTTTTGTTTCCATGAATGAGAGCAAGTCGTCATATGTCAAGTTAAATTAGCTTACAATATTGTAACTTACAATATTGTTTTACATTATTTTCACCACGATAGCATGATATGCTGGATTCACTAAATGATGTTTTGATTACCATATCACATTTGAACTCAAGGAGTCATTAACACAAAGCTTACTTAAAGCTTAAGGTCTTTGGGGAACTTTTGTCCCATCCTTTTTTCTTCTTTATTTTTATTTTTATTTTTTTGTGTAGCTAGCAGATGTGACATGAGCATTTTGTTGACTTGAAGGTGGATTTTTTGATTCACCACTATTTTACTTTCCAGGTATTTTAAGCTCTGTGCCTTGTCAAAAATTTATGTTGTTTTAATATTCTTTTTTTCTCCTGAAGGATTGAAGTGCTGCTGGTGACAGTCATGCCACTGCTTATTCCATTCTATTTCTATTGGTATTTCTTTCTACTCTTATACTTAGATAATATGTGACATGATACGAAGATTTCATTGGTTGTAAGTTAGTTGTCTGTCTTTATAAATCACTAAATAACATCCCTCCTTAGTCTCGGACTGTCATTTATTTCAGGAAGGAAAAATCATTACTTTGAAGTTTCTGGTAAAAGCTGGGAGTTGTTTTAATTGTTTCAGAAACTCTAGATACAAGAGGAAGTGGATTTATGATAATGCTGTAGGCAAAGGACATGAGGTGCCCCAAATACACACCTATGTTATCCTATGATAGGAAGGCTAGATATCACACCTGAGGGTGATTCGATAGATTACATAGAAAATCTTGGATCACATTACTTTCCTCCTTGAATCCATTTACTAGTTTTTTATCTTTTACTGCATCAAAATTAGATTTCTTGTCCTAACAATAAACCTTGTTCTCTCATTCATCTCCCAGATAACATTTCACTCTCTCAGTCTTTCCCAATTTCTCATCCTTCCTCTTGACTTCCATTGAATGGCTTTTGTGTCCAATATAAGATGATGTCACTGTTGCAGAGTCTTCAGCTTCTGCCTGTCTTCCTTCATATCTCTCTTATAACCCCACTTCCCAACAACTTCTCTGTATGATTGATTTCTAAACCTTCTTTACTTGCAATGGCCTTTGGAATTCTGGCATACCATTCTTGTTTGTCTTTTAATAATATCTAGGAGAAGGTCAGGGCTTTGTTTTCTGGATCCACTGGCAAGGAATGCCATTCTACAATCCTGTAAGAGGGATTAATTCATGTGTTATCCACTACAATGTGAAGTGTTACATTTTTATATATAGTCTCATGAATTATAGTAATAACACATCATCAATGAAAGTATTTTCTTCTGAGATGAAATGAATTATATAACTAGTAGAACTAGAAAAGCATGGTGAATGCTGTGGATGAAAGAATGCACTGTACTGTTTGGCTATGGCTCCCCATACCCAAAGTCTTGCACTTATCTCCACATCATATTCCCAACCTCCTACCAGTCATTGCTCTGCCATAATTTCACTTTTCATGACAACATATTTTGGGTGAATTGGGATTTTGAGGTGTCCAAATTACCGGTCTTCATCTGTTCTCCCTTTCAGTAGTCTAGAATAGAATGAGAAAAAGCTGGTGTCGTATGATGATACCTTGTGGTCAAGCAAGCTCAGCTACTCCAGCTTCCCTTATTCTTCTCCCTATAATAGATTGGGAACCCAGCATACACTAATGAGCTGGGAATTCTGCCTTGCCCACACCACCCTGTGCTGATCTATTTCTAATCAGGTTGAAGTCCTCTCTCTTGTTTAAAAAAATAAATTGTCAAGTTTTAAAAAAGTTTTCTGTATTTTAACTTTGTTATGAGAATGACAGAAGAATTTCTCTGATTTTTGCAGATGTAAGTTTAAAGGTCTGTGAGACACCACAGGGTGGAAAGTATTTTTTTGATTAATAAAACACTTTCCCACCAGGAGCCAGGATGCTGGCTAATGCTGTGTTTTCACTTACGGCAGCGACAAGCCTTGCTTCCACCTGCTCTATAAATGGGGAACACCCAGGTGCTTCCTGTTCAACAGCTGCTGACAGGAGAGCGAAGGGTCCATGCTGGCCACCGACCGTGAAATGGGCTGGTGGTGGTGAGAGCAGGGCTGAGGGCAACAAGGACAGGCAGGTAGGGTACATGATGGGGCACGGTTCCTGAGGCAATCTGTTGATCACCACAGGAGTTAAGATCTTGCAAGACTGAGACTGTAGATTGCAACTTTGTTGGTCTAATGGGAGGTATCAGACCAAGGGGAGTCTGGAGCTCTTCCCATGGCCAAGGGAAAGGATTTGGAGAAGGGAAATCTCGTGGAGCGAAAGCAGGATGTGTGCCGCTAGTGTTTGTATTGCATGACCTGATCAAGAGAGAACAGCTTTGAAGAAAGGTAAAGCTCCTTTGTTGGCATTTTCATTATCAGGTTGGTTTCTTTCATTTAATTATTTGGTTTAGTTGAGAAAAGAGAGATGTTTTAATTTTCTTGGAGGAAGTTTTCATTTTGTCCCTTCCGGTGTTCAGGCATCCTGAATCTCAGCTCTTAGTCATGTAAATCCCAAGTTAATCCATTTAAGGCAATGACGTTTCCCTGTAGAGCTGGCACATGCACAGGTCCTTTGCAAGTTTTTCACAAAACCAGCTATCTCTTTGACTAAATATAGCAGTCGCTTAAAAATGTTACTCGGGGCTAGGCATAAAACACTAGCCAGATTATTTCCGTATGCTAAAAGTTGGGAAAGAACTGCGTTTTTCTGAAGATAGAAATAAGAGCTGGCCTTTTTGTAATTCCTATTCTTTTTCTCTTTTCTTCACAATGCCAGATTTGCAGCCTGTCCTTTCTAGTCGTGACCCAGCATGGAATCTGTAGAAATAAAGTGGCAGAAGAAACAAGCCTAGTCGAGCTGAATGGAAGGACTAGCAATAACACCAGAAAAACACAGTCGTCAACACCAAAGAGCAGGATATTTCGAAGAAAACTCTTTCTGGATAAATGACTGTTCAGACACCAGAAGGGCAGTTGATCTCACCATCTCTTCAGCTCTTTTTCAGGTAGAAACAGTGTGGCCATACAGGAGAAAAACTCATCACTTATGAACTAGCATTACGATGTTCTCTTACGTTGGCAGTAGCAAGTGAGTGATTACTTTATTCCCTATTAAAATTTCCTAGTGGTCAAGAGTTAGTGAGGGTGGGAATACCAAAAGGGGACTAGGAGCCTCCAGTGATGTACTTGATCTAGAGGGAAGGGAACTCACTAAAATCAGGTTTGAGGTATGAATATTGCATGGCAGTTAGCTAAAAGCAGGCTTGAGTCTGTCTTAGTAATGCCAGAAAAATTGGTTGCTCACAGGGATTGTTCCTAATCCTTAACAGTGACAATTAAAATTCAAAGCATGTGTATGATGTTGTTATCTCACTGTTCATTACTTCTGAAGAGACATCTGACTTCCCTGAGGATTTGGGTGGGGCTGGGTCAGAACACTGTAGCTGCTTTTCTATTTCTGTCTGACAAATTATTAACCCGGACTTTGGAACACAGCTAAGAAAAAGCTGAAAAACCAGAAAACCTCACCACCAAATCAAACCCACTGTTTTACTGGGGGTGACCTCTGTGAACCACAATTCTGCATTACAAGATACCTGTTGGGCAACTGGAAAAAAAAAAAAAATCCCCAGGAAAAAAAAAGAAAAAGGCAATTAATCTGAATGTGCTGTTAATTTAATAGTATTCCCATGGGGAGCCTTAGACAGTGCTACTATTCACGAGCTTACCATAACTTCCCACTGTTCCACAGATGCTTGTGACAGGCTCCACTTTTCATGATTGTTCCTCTGAAGTCCTTTACTTCGGAGTCACAGCAAACCATCTATTTGTATTTTATGAATCAAATGAAGATTGTGGAAAGTAAAATTCCCATTGGAAGTGAACTTAGAAAGGTGGTGCTATACCACCAGGAAAATTTTCCAAATAATTGAATTCTTATTAATAAAAGTTTTCACTTTGATGAATGCAAACATTCAAGCTATGGCATGTTGTGAGGCTCTCTGTATCTGAAAGCACAGATAAGAGACGTGGGAAAGGCAAACAAAAAAACCCTCTGAGTAGTACCAGGGAGGGGGAGGATATTAATAAAGAAGGAACATCCCTTACAAGTTTCTTGTTTGTTCTGATTCATTCAGCCTATTCCGCCCAGTTTTATTTAGTTTCTGTATGTAAACATCACCACTGTTTATGAGCAGTATTTCATTTTGGTTTAGAGCGGCTTAATCTTATGAAGATGGTAAGTCTTTCTTCATCTGAGAAGAAAATGATACAGACATTGTACCTTGATTTATGTATGTTAGTAGGGCGTAACACTGACACCATGCTTCATAACTACTAAGCGGATGCCATTCATCTTGGCATCATCATCATTCTCAAAAACATTACGCTGCACTTACAGGCATCTAAATCTCCATTAAATTCTTCAGACTACTTTAAACTTCTGCATATTAGGCCCTGAAATTCTGTAGATTTCTGCCTCTGAAGTCCCCAGAAACCTGCTGCACAGCCAGGCTGACTCTGGCTTTGCTGAACTGCATGGGTAGGAAAAATACGTGTAGATAATTAGGGTTCTTCCACATTAAGACTGTATGTGCAGGTGGTGATGTTTGTGCACATGTGAACGTGTCCCAGTTTGTGCTCACGTGTGTACTTGCATATTTATATTACATACATAGAAAATAAGTGTTAAGTTATGAAGATTTGAGTGTAAGAGCTAAATATATAAATATACATGCTCTTTCCTCTGAGAAAGAAATGTAGTGGGATTGCTAAAATAACCTCACCACCAAATCAAACCCACTGTTTTACTGGGGGTGACCTCTGTGAACCACAATTCTGCATTACAAGATACCTGTTGGGCAACTGGAAAAAAAAAAAAAATCCCCAGGAAAAAAAAAGAAAAAGGCAATTAATCTGAATGTGCTGTTAATTTAATAGTATTCCCATGGGGAGCCTTAGACAGTGCTACTATTCACGAGCTTACCATAACTTCCCACTGTTCCACAGATGCTTGTGACAGGCTCCACTTTTCATGATTGTTCCTCTGAAGTCCTTTACTTCGGAGTCACAGCAAACCATCTATTTGTATTTTATGAATCAAATGAAGATTGTGGAAAGTAAAATTCCCATTGGAAGTGAACTTAGAAAGGTGGTGCTATACCACCAGGAAAATTTTCCAAATAATTGAATTCTTATTAATAAAAGTTTTCACTTTGATGAATGCAAACATTCAAGCTATGGCATGTTGTGAGGCTCTCTGTATCTGAAAGCACAGATAAGAGACGTGGGAAAGGCAAACAAAAAAACCCTCTGAGTAGTACCAGGGAGGGGGAGGATATTAATAAAGAAGGAACATCCCTTACAAGTTTCTTGTTTGTTCTGATTCATTCAGCCTATTCCGCCCAGTTTTATTTAGTTTCTGTATGTAAACATCACCACTGTTTATGAGCAGTATTTCATTTTGGTTTAGAGCGGCTTAATCTTATGAAGATGGTAAGTCTTTCTTCATCTGAGAAGAAAATGATACAGACATTGTACCTTGATTTATGTATGTTAGTAGGGCGTAACACTGACACCATGCTTCATAACTACTAAGCGGATGCCATTCATCTTGGCATCATCATCATTCTCAAAAACATTACGCTGCACTTACAGGCATCTAAATCTCCATTAAATTCTTCAGACTACTTTAAACTTCTGCATATTAGGCCCTGAAATTCTGTAGATTTCTGCCTCTGAAGTCCCCAGAAACCTGCTGCACAGCCAGGCTGACTCTGGCTTTGCTGAACTGCATGGGTAGGAAAAATACGTGTAGATAATTAGGGTTCTTCCACATTAAGACTGTATGTGCAGGTGGTGATGTTTGTGCACATGTGAACGTGTCCCAGTTTGTGCTCACGTGTGTACTTGCATATTTATATTACATACATAGAAAATAAGTGTTAAGTTATGAAGATTTGAGTGTAAGAGCTAAATATATAAATATACATGCTCTTTCCTCTGAGAAAGAAATGTAGTGGGATTGCTAAAATTTTTAACCTGGCCACATAATAAGAGTCAATATGTCATGTCCTCAGAGGAGAGCGTGGTAGTAAGAGAAAATGAAGATCTCGTTTTAACCTGGAGTTCAAGCTTCACCAGGCTCTAATTTTTAAGTCTTCCCAGGCTGAGAAGCTTTGCCTGTGTTAAAGATGTGCTGTATTCAGGGCTGGCAGAGTCTGCTCCCTGCCACTACGCTTGCCCTCTCAGCGCTGGCTTTCTGTTTATATGCTGGGGAGGGAAAAGTGCATTTCCATTGACTTTTATTTACTCTTTTATAAGAGTACTTGGAGTTTACTAGAAGAGTTTAATTGGGCTCCAAAGCTCTCTGTCCCGCTCACAAAAGCGTACTGTTGTTCCACTTCTGTTTTTCCTTTTGGGATGAGGGGCCTCAAGAGCTAAACCACCATCTCCTCTCTGCCCGCAGGCTGTGGAAAGGCCGGTGCTGTACGTCGCTGTGAGCGTCCTTGGAGTGGGGACAGGCAGTGGACACCTTTCTTCCCCTCGTTCTCCTTCGCTCAGCAGCACCCAATGTTTCAGCAGGTGGGAGAAGGTCAGTGCCTCTCTGTGCTCATGCCTGAGAGGAAGGCTGGATTTGTATTAAATTGCATAATTTCAGACAAGCCTGAAAAATCACTCCTGACAATTTAAGCACCTTTCGTTTGCAGTGAGGAAGTATAGTATAAAAACTGGCTTCCACAGAGGCTTCCTGGGCCATTCCCTCATCTCACAGAGCTTGTTTCCATTGTGTAAGGCACAAACTCTTCATTACAGGGAGTGGATTATTTTTAGGAGTTTCCAAACACAGGAACAACTGCCTTCTCTTGCATGGAGGGGCAGGGGACCAGGTAGAACAGGTCCATGCTCTTTGCCTGGTTTCCTATGGAGCAGTGTCTATGAAGCTGTATAGGCTACATTCGTGTGTGTACCTGAGAGCGTGTGTGTCTGCCAGGCCTTCCCAGTGAATTTGTGACATCTATGAAATGTCATCTTTGCCAGCTCAGTCAAGTGTGAGAGAAAGCCAACAGGTCTCAAGGGTGTTTAGTTTCCTAGAAGCGGGCAGGCAGAAGATATGGGAACATCTTAGAGCAAGGGAATCTCAGTGTGAACTCCAGACTTGTTAGAGAATCTACACAGGATCTCAGCCAGGGGAGGCAGGTCCCTAGGGGATCTCTCTTCAGTGACCCAGGGCCATGCTGCCTGTCTGATCTCCACCCCTGGTCCCACAGTTTGTAGAGCTGGTGAGTTTTTTCTGAGAGAGAGGCAGGCCATAAAGAATAAATGTGTATGTTTTTCTTTATACATATGCATTTATTCATAAGATACACATGTGGATATGTATGTTATGCACTGTGGACACTTGGATAATTATGGCATTAGTGCAATGTTTTTCTTGATACTACAGTCTACACGATCTGAGTCTTGCGGCGTTAGGCACGCAATCAACTTCTGCCTGAGTGCTTATACTACAGACCATGCACACATTTTTCTGATATGTGTAGTGTTTCCATAAAGGCATTTTGTTTCATACTCTTCATTTAGTGTAGGAACAGCTGTCTTTCAGAAGACTGTCTGATAAAGCCATAAAAGGCAGATAGATGGGTAAGAGAGATCAATCTTTATTTCCATTATGGTCATATAACAGAAGACAAGGTTACATAAGGTTAGACGCAATGTAACGTGATAGGTTGGTTTTCCGGTGTTTCTAAATGACTAGTGTTTCAGTGAAAGAAAGCTCTGTCTATATTCAGTGCTCTGAAGATGTATCACAAGGAGAGTGCATACCAAAATAGTGTAACTTTTTGTATAAAATTAAGCTTAGTGTGTTCCTCTATTTAGGGAACCAAGGCTTTTATATTTTATATTTTTGGTAGTCATTCATCGATGATGTTTTATGTCAGTAGAACAGTAAAATAAGAACATATAATGTCAGTAATACATGTGCATATTCATGTATGTACATATAAAAATCAGGGCATGTTCAGAAGATGAAATACAACCTGTCTGTTTTCATCAGTGGGATCTTTGTCTGACTAAGGCTTTGGAGATCAGAAAAGTCTTTAAACAACTGCATATATGACTTTATACTGGGAAGGAGCTTTATTGATTCTAGATGGAATGAGCACGTAAAATGTGGAACATTTGTAATCCAGATCCAGACCAATTCAGAGGAAATCTGTAATGTTATCAATAAAGCAGGAGAATATTATAAATTAATGCATGATAAATGAGTTGATGGGCTGGTAGCTAACCTAGACAATAAATTGAAATGTTGTTACTGATGCCAGGCTGAAGCTGGCACAGCTGAAGAGCTTTGAGGCAGGCCTTCCCTTGATTCAACAATGGGGTTTTGTGCGAGTTAATTCCATGATATGGTCATCATCATCTTGATGGTTTCACAGAGAAGCCACACCTTCCTCTCTGGAAAAGTGGGATGTAATACACAGCACCTGAGGATGCTGCCTTGTGTGCATAGTGCCAGACCTTTGCTGAAGGGGCATTGTGTTGCTGTGGCTAAGTGCTGCATCTTATCCCATTTTCAAAAATTATGATGGTGATGGGGAAAAGGAGTGGCTTCTAAGCTATATGTTTCCTATTTGGCTTTTGCTTGGTTCTAAAATGCTGTTTGCTTTCCCTCTCTCATTGCACAGCCACCACTCAGAAAGCAACCCTGCACCCTTGATAAACCTGTTCTCTCAGCAACTGGGGTTATTGCCAGGTACAGTATGACCTGATTTTTTGGGACTTGTTCATGGGACAACTGGTAGCATCAACTGCTGGATGTGTGGAATTGTGTGACTTTGCCCTCTCTGCCTGTGTTTGCTGATTAGCACTGTGCAAACACTCTGTGTGTAGTGCCATGGAGCGCTTTTCTCTCCCAGGGGTGGTATGTGTTTGCCACAGGGACCTCCTTTTCCAATTTTGGATTCTGATTATCCCCAGAGGCATTAGCAAAAGAGGAGATAAAAAAGATCTACCTATGGACCCAAGGAGAAAGTAGATTCCGGTAAGAAACCTTGGGCTTGTGAAATTTGTGCCTGCGTGTTTCTTGTATTCAGTGCAAGAGTTTTTTAAGTAGTGATGTTAGTAACATTCCTCAGAGCCTTCCAGCACAGCAGGTTGCCCTGTTTACAGACAAATGCTGGTTCTGTGTGGAAGGGTGGGAGAAGAAACTAGGGTCGGAAAATATTTCATTGGCTTGTATGAAAAACCTTAAAGCTGGTGCTGAGAAAGAGAATTATCTTTAAGCATACAATTCCATTTAGAACAGTAATGCCCCAAAAGTATTTCCAGCCACTTAGTTCAGGGGTGCTCTTTCCACTCTGGATCTCTAGTTCAGTTGATTCACTGTGTTCCTCCAGCTGGTGGTGTAAAAATGAGAGAAAAGATTAAATAAATGTATCCTGTCAATTCCTCCTTGGCCCTTATGGCTTCCGTAGTAAGCTCATTTGCACAGATTTCTTAATGTCTTGAGGCAAGCTCTCCCATGGGCTTTCCTGAGGACCACACACAGACATTCAGTTCTTTTCTTGCATTTTTCTGTTAATTGCCCATCTTCTAACAAGCAGTCCTTGCGCTTATCAAGTCACAAATAACTTCTTTTGAGTAGCTCTGACATGCTTAGCTACAAGGAAATTGTAAATAGAAAGCGTCTCTGTTGTGCCTTTTGCTCCTCACAACATATGAATACTATGAAAAAACAGACAAACTAGTTGGGCTTGTTTACTCCACATGCACATCTGAGGCTATGGGCAAGCCATTCACATAGCCATATGAATCCTGCTACCCTGCCCAATTTGTGGAGGCTTCTACAAGAGACAACACAAAGAGTGCTTCTGAAGGCAAAGGGGTTACGTGCGTTCCCACATGCTGTATTCTTTAGTCAGAGACAAATTTCTGCTCTTATATAAGATGTTGGGTTTTAAGCTTTGCATAATTGTGTTCTATATCATTTTGATCTTGTGTGTTCTTAAATTTTGCTTTCCTGGCCGATGCAATTTATTACAATTAACTTTTAATCTTCTGCATTGGTCTTTATCATCTATTCACTTGAGACGGGAAGCAATTATAGATCTTTGAAATAGATGTCCTACTTAGATTCAGCAGAATGTCTTTAATGGGATCTGGTGTTTAGTAAGAGAGAATTAAAAGCTATGGTAACATCCTGAAGTGCAAACTTTGGAACTTTGTTGTTCCTGAGCTGTGCTGCCTCCCATCCATGCAGCTGGGTGCAGAAGTTGGAGAAGGTGCTTTGAGGGATCAGGGCTCCTGTCATTGGTTTGCCGTGTGACCAGAAATAAGTCCCACGTGCCTCAGTTTGTTGTCTAAAGACACTCACCTAGTGCCATCTGAGATGCCACTGGGTATCCAAAACATCTGCAGATACAGTACTGGCAATGGGAGGATTCTACCCTTCAGTATGGGCAGCTGTGGCCAAACAGGCCCCCAGAGATGTCTCAGAGGGTGCTAGGTGCTTCTCTTCAGGAAACTGAGGTAGCTTTTAGCATCTCTGTGTCTTGTTTTCTCCATCAGTAAAGACCATGATACTGGTTTCACGGGGATGCTGTAAGGCTTGACATTGGAAAATACATTTAAGACAACTTCATAGGTTATTTTCAGAGCACAGAAAGTCAGAGACTCTCTCTCTGACACAAATCTGGTTATGACTTTCTTCTGTGAGAGCAGAACAGCCAGGCAGGGTAAGCTTTTGCTTAGTTGTCCTTTGAACACACAGCCAGGGTGGACCAAAGACCAACTCTGTGGCAAGGTGCGGACGCTAGACAGCCAGTCTTCTCAATTCTTGTTGGAGTTGTTTGTAAGTCTGGGTTTGACCCTGAGGGCTGAAATCAATCCCTTGAAGTAGGTTATGGCATAAATTCCAACGTGTTGGTGGAGCGCTTGAATTTGCCTCCAGGAGGGCTGAATGGATGCTTCGGTGTTTTGGGAAAGTCCACCAGATGGAGCTCTTGTTTGAGGGATAAAGCTCCGGCAGGCTGCAGAAGCTGAGAAAATAGGACATAGACCTCGTTTTTATTGGATTGTTTCACGTAACAGGGTTGAATTGAGCAAGCCTGGCTTCCCAAGCACTTGCTTTTAACAGGAAACATTCGATGCTAAGGATGCGGAAAAAGGAAATGTACTTTTGTGGCTAGAAGTGCTTGAAGCTTTCACTATGTTTTCATTTTCTTGTCACTGACTTATTTTGCAGAACTGTTTTAGCACTCATTCCCTCAAATCTTTCTGTCCCTTAGTATGCTTGCCATATTTAATTATAATAATTGCACGCCTTAGCTATTAAACCCATATGAAATCAAAGCACCAGAAAACTTGCTTAATAGTTTAGCTGAAAAAAATATACGATTGGGGTGTGAAAAGGAAAAGTTTTCAACTTTAAACTTAGTTACCTAAAAGACAGCTAATAAAACTTTGGAGTGTGGCAAAGAATGCAGAACGAAGTGTGTCTTGGTCTGTGAAGTTTTTTGAAAGACATAATCCATGAATTCAGAGGTCTAGCTACACGACACTGCCACAGGAACCTGGCTGGTTTGGTATACATGACACCTCTCAGATTTGTTCCCCAAAAGCTTTTAAAAACACATTTTTAGAAGCACATTTGTTATTCATGTAATCAAACAACTACACTAATACATCAGAGAGCAATGTAAACACTCCGGCTATGAGGACATTAGGCTTATCTTCAACATGGGTGGTATGAGCACCGATGAGATTTGGCCCCTGCTCCATGCAGTGTGAGGTAGTAATAAGCCATGTTCTTCGTGGAAAGAAACATGAATGGATATCACTATTTTCACCTTCATAAATGAAATTAGAAATGAGACAGTCAAGTCATTGCAGCCCACCTCCATCCTCCATAACGCAATGTAGCCATCTTGATGGCACTGGGCATGTCCTGGGGGCAATGTAGAGCTGAGTTTGACTCACTGGCTATCAGATTTATTTTAAGCTCTACTAACCAACCAAAAAAAGGCGTTCATACTGAACAGCCTCTAGTTTCAGGCAAAATGAAGCAGGCCTACTGCCTCCTACCATGGGATTTCTGGGTTTGTGAGATGGAAAAAGTCACATGATCTTTTATTCTAAATCATGTAGGATGGGCTTCCCTTCAATAATGTCTTTAGAAGAACCACTTCATAGCTTGCCATCCCACTCCATTGTTGCCCGGAGCTCTCCTCGGCTCTTTATGAGTGAAAGAGAACACAAAAACCAACGCTGCTAATTGCTAGGTGCTATAGGGTGCACGTGGATAAGAAAAGAGGAGCATACATGAGTTAACATAGCTGGATGTATACTTTAAGTGCTGTGTGGCAGCTAGTTGTAGTTTTACAGTAGCCAGACATTGCACCATGCTTAATTCAACCTCTTTTTGTATTGTTACAGCCCATAGCAACAGACTTGGAAAATTGGATAAAGTTGAAACCTGGGGGTCCCCAGAAGAGTTCATTTCCTTGTTGGTCCTTATCAGTAAGAATCAAATTTTAGTTCTTATGTATTTCAGATGCTTCCAGAAACAGTGTCATCTGGTCAATGACTGACAGTTTCCCTTTTGCTCTTTCTTTCTCAGTGTTTTCTGTCTATTAAGTAAATTGTATATTCCATTTTCCTAGGAATCATGGGTGTCTGCTGATTAAACACACTCAGTGGCATGGGTCAGCACTTGTTCAGGGCTATTCGATCAAGAGAGAGCTTTGCCTACTGCACACAGCACATGTTATGTGCTGTAGATGTACAAAAATGCTAACAATTCTGAGCATCTTCATGTTACACTCACCTTGGGATCTTCTAGGAAAGTCCAAAAGGAAAAAAATGTTGTTGTGGGGGTGTTTTGTGTGTTTCTGCTGAGTACAGTTTGTAATATTTTTTTTCTTCTTGTTATTGGTTAACCAGAAGAGAAGTCTCAGTCTTGAAATGGGATCTGAGGATATCAAAGGCTGCTCTTCACTTTGAGGGAGGAAGGAGAAGAGGAGGAGGAGGTTGATTCCATGGATTTTTCAGTGGCCTGGAAGGAATTAGGACACTACAGATCCTCCTTGTCTGTCCTGCACATCCTCCTCAGCCAGGTGTCATCAGATAAACCCAAAATCAGTTGTTCAAATCGATTCCAGTTTTCTGGCATGTAGGTTGCAATCTTTTTATTTCAGGTAAGTACTTACAGAATCCTCTAAAATTGCAATTACTACATTTGCACTGAGATTTTATGAGGAACAGAATGTCCTATTTCTGCATGTGTGCAGAAGCTGTATGTATAGCTGAAGTTTAGGGCATGTGAAGCATTAAATGCAAAAAAAAAAAAAAAAAAGTTCGCGTTTAGTTTTAAGTACTATTTTTGAGCCAAGGAGACAATTTGTCGCTCCATTGTGTGAGTGTGTAATACTGCGGTCAAAAATAGTGACTTGAATAAACATTTTGCGGTGACATGTCTAAAACAATTACTCTTTAAAGACAGGAATGTAACAAGAACTTAGGTCTGGGCTGTGTCTGTGGGAACACCTAGTCATGTAAGAATTAAAGGGTGTGTGTTCTAGATCAAAGTATCCTATACTTCATAATATGTCTAATTATCATACCATTTTCCTCTATTAAATTCATTCGTTTTAATTAGAGAAATAGATATTTTGCATCAGAGTTTAAGGGGTCTGTTGGGCACTTGAGATTAAATCAATGGTGTGTTAACAATTTTATCTGGAAAGTAGATTAGATTATTTAATTTATGCAGAATAGCATCATTTTTCTTTTTTCAGTAGAATAAAATTATGATTAAGAAATAGTGCTTGAAGCATGAGAGCTCTGCTTGACATTATTTTTCACATGCAATTTTGGGATTTTTCAGTGAAATAATTCATCTTTAATCTGGTTTTATAATATTATATGAAATTTGGCAAAATAGAACAAGTGCTACAGTAGTGTCTAACAGCAGGTGTTTTCCAATGACAATATGGGAGATGCCAATGGTGGCTACTCAGACCATATATTTAGCTTTGTGTTTTATTTTTTTGCTGTTAGAGCAAAAAAAGTATATCCTGTTAATCAGTTCATAAAACAGTAGGATTAAAAAGAATGCGCTGGAAGTGTAAAACAGTCAACACCAAGAGATTTTTAAAGATTAGCTTAATAAATAAAGCATAATTGGGTAAAATAGGCAAATAATGAGTTAAGGGTAGCCCAAATGTGTAATTTCTTGGGGTCAGCGGCAATGCATCAGTTTCCACCACAGCTGGGTAAAGCCTAGAGGGCACGTAACAGGGTGTCACGGAATTGTATTAACCATGCTCTGCTGTTGAGGTGTCTCGTTTTATTTATCCTTCTCCCACCAGCACTTTTAAGTGATGCAGGAGACATATAGAGTTAAATCGCAAGCTGCGCACCAACTGCTGCACGTGCTTTTGATTTTTCTCAGGATAGGTTAAAGAAAACGTCTCTTATTAAAACAAGAAACCATAATTGAGGCAAGAAAGGAGCCAGCAGAGTGCTTGCAGGATACTCAGGCTGCCCTGCTGCTGGTTGCAGTAGCTCTGGATTTTTTGGTGGAAATGTGCTGGCTGGACTGGTCCTTGCCTGCCTGCCTGCCCGGGCAGCGCTGGGCACAGCAGCAGCACACCGGGGAAGATGCTCTCACAGGCTGGTGCTTTGCCTGGCCCCAAAAGGCCATCACCTCTCCCGCAGGTCACTCTGCTTCAAGCAGCACCCACTTGCTGCCTAAAGGGCAGAAGGAAAACTCAGCTTCTTGCTCAGATGACATCTGTAGCTCAGCCTTAGGCAAGCAGAACCTAGCATCAACGTTTCTACTGATTGTAGGAACATCATCTCTATGCTTACAGTAAATTAATTAGTTTTTATTACCTGCATGCTCTCACTGCTCAGACTCCACCTGAGCGTTCACGTGTTGCTCCACCAGGGAAGGCAGGAGCAGCTACTGAGCCAGATGCTTCCCAGATGCCTCTAGAGGCCTCTGCTGCCCAGCCCATTCCTCTTCTGAAAGAGTGAGCGCTGTGTGATGCTGCGTAACTAAAACCCATCATGGCCTATGAGGCATAATTGATTGATAAGTCTGGTTTAGCATCTCAGTTTCTGAGGTTAATAGATAAAGATACCCTTTCCCTAGCAACAATTGTTAATCAATGGATTACAGATAACAGATCTTCAGATCTGCATCACAAGGAGAACCACATAGTTGAGTGAAAAAAATTATATATACATGCAATTAAACACATACATGCAAGCACACGCAGTGTCATCTGTCCTCCACACCAAATGCACAGCAGCACTGGGTGCTAAAATTTGCAATGAATTATTTATATGATGAATTATTCCTCCTTCTCTCCTCCTAGAACATCCAATTGCCCATTTCCATTTTTGTTTCAGAAAGATTTATTATTCAGATTTATTCACTGGATAGCTTATTAAACATTTCCTCCTCTTTTTCTCCATAATACATAACATGCAGCTTGTTTTCTGGTAGCACCTATCCATCTGCTCTAATAGGGTCTCCCAGCGTGGTGAAACCGTGAAGAGCGCAATTGTCAGTCCAGACAGTTTACAGTCGCCTTTGTGAACCAATTACAGATGTTCCAAATTCTGGATATTTATTTGCTCACTTAAGTCGAAACAGTTTCAGCCCCCAAGTAAATGATCCACAGCTCCAGACAGAGATTGCAACTGCATGTGAATGAGTAATTTGTTTCTCATCAGTGTTTAGCGTGCACCTCTTGAAATTCATTCTTGCACCTATTTTTGCTGGTTTTTGCTCAGTTCCCTGGAAGCCTGTGAGAGGATGGAAAGAGAAGATGAGCACCCAAAGCCCAGTCATTTAGCGGCTTGCTGATCTTTTTACCCTTTAGTTTCTTAGTTTTGCCCCATCGGCATAAGGAAAGGCATTTTATAGTGAGAGACTCTATCTCGCCCTGGGTGTGATACGCTGCGGTTCCTGGGACCTGTTCCTGTAAAGATTGTACAAACATGAATCATCTCTGGATTCTGGGGGTAGCATTTCAATACCAATTTCCTAGGTGCTGGGGTAGTGTACCTGAGACAGTTAAAGGGCTTTAAAAGGAATCACCTACCCACAAGAATTTTCCGTATTTTGGGCTTTTGTTGTTTGGTTTCCATGTAACTGGCTGCCCTAGTACCTCCCAGGCATTCACGTAATTTTCAGCATTTAAATCCCAAATCCACCTTCCGTATCTGTGTTTAATATTTTTGTACCTTGTAAATTTTGACATCTGCAAGTCTTGTTCTGAAATTGTTTTAACTGTTCCTCTGGCCGGGAGTCACTCTGCACTACGCTTTAAATCAGGACAGAGGTTTACAGTTGTGATAGAGGTGGAACTGCAAGCATCCAAAAAAAGAGTTATCTATAAGCAGAGGAGCTGGTATTCACATACCTCAGTAAATAATATCCCGGGGATGTCGTCTTGCTTCCCCTGAAATCACAAACAGTAATACCCTCTAAGAACAATAGCACTAAAACTGTCCTCGGGTTAAAAATAATCGGTTTGCCTGTGTGTGAAGCACACAGGCTCGAGAGCTCTTTGGCTGGGTAGCAATATTTTACCTCTAATGACCTCAAACCGGAGCCAGCCATTTTTGCAGGCTCTACAGAATACTCTTGTGCCACAAATTGTACCCGAAGGCAGCTGCCTGCCTTCACCTGAGCACATCCCTCTCCGCTGGCTCCCGCACGCTCCAAAGGCTCGGGGAAAAACTAGTGAGATTGCGCTGAGGTTTCTTTACGAATTCTGCCTTTCTTGATTAGTCAGATTCTCCCATTTTTGGATGATTGAATTTCTGCATCTTCTGCAGCAGAAGAGGAGTGTGTGTAGTTTATTGAGATATTATTTTTTTTTATTGAGGTGTTGCAGTTGGAGGCTCTAGAAAGGAAGAGGTCTGGATGCTGTGTGTGAATACCAGGTATTTATAGGCTCTCCTTAAACATGTATAACAATTCTAAACTGTTGTGTCTTTCCTCCCTCCCCGAGCTTCTAACGTATTTGAAAGCAATAAATATAGTTGTCAAATATGTGAAAATAGGGACATGAAAACAGAAGGATAACTGGATGGGGGCTCCATGGGGCTCTTTTTCTTAATCCTGGGTTTCTTTCAGTGAACTTTTATTTTTGAGCAGACCCTTGGGCAGAATGCTCGCTGATTTGCAGTGAGTAACCTGGCTACTCTGTGAGTTGACAGAGTGGGAGGTAAGCGGCAGTAACTAATGGCAATTAGCAGAGATCTGGACAGCTACGTGTCCCCGGAGACATGAGCACTTGGGGGTTGTGTCTTCACAGAGCAGAGCTGGTTGTCACCCTACAGAGTATGTCAATTTGCATCCTACCGCTGAGGCTTTGCTGTCAGATTTGCTTAGTGCTTTGAAAAAAAGTAGGTTTTATTTTATTTTTGCTCCCCAAATTTCTTGAAGTGATTACTTTTACCAGGGAAATTACCCCAGCAGCTGCTATTGGTAATAACTTGTTTAATGCTTATGTAGCACTTGACATTTTCATGACTGATGTGCCAAAAAAAGAAACAAAAAGAGAGAGGGGTTTGTTTTCAAATGGCAAAGGACACTTTCTGCCTTTTCGTTGCAGGTCCCAGGTGAGAGAAGCGTCCCTCGCTCGCTGACCCTGACCATGCCAGGAGGGAGAAGGTGAGAGGCTGATGCGCCGCTGTAAGACCCGATTGCTAAATTGCGGGAGGGTTTCATAAATCCCCTTTCTCACGCATCCTTTCCCACCTCCCCATCGCCGTTGGGATGTTCCGCAGCGTTCCCGCAACCCCAACCCCTTTAAGCGGCGGCTGCGTGAAAAAGAGAAGCCGGAGCGCTGCGCCCCCCCACTTTCTCCCACCGCGTACCCCGTGTTCCCCCCGTCCCGACTTCCAGCCAGGATAACCCTTCCAAGATGGATGTTGAGTAGCTTCTCCCACCGCAGCAGCGGAGGCGGAGGGCGGCACAAAGCCGGGCGAGGGTGGTGGTGGCGGCGGTGGCGTGTGTCCCCCCGGGGACAAGGGCTCC